TAATAAACCATATCTTTCATTTTCGATTTTTAATTCACGTAGTCCGGGAACTTTCCGGACAAACTGTGTATAGTTGTTTGTAATAAAAATAAAACTAAATAGCTAAATGTAATTTCGTAAAAAAATAATACTAAAAGGTGAACGCTTAGTGAAAAATTGTAAATTAATTCGAATTTAAAGGTGTCATATAGTTGTTTTTATAGGAAGAGTACTTGCCTACTGATAGTTTTCCAATTATAAACGATGTCACATTACCAATTGGTACAACGGGATCGATGTAAAATACACCTTTTTTGCGCCAGAAAGTAAATACCACAAATTTGAAATAACTATATAGAAAACACAGTGCAACAACAAGAGCAGTTATTAATCCTATAAGAAACATTTTGTTCTTTTTTCTCTTAAATAAATTTCAAACAAAAGAAACTTATATAAAAATTTCTGTGTGTTTTAGCGTTATATTTGTGCAAAAACAATAAGTGTCACAAAATTAACTGTAGCAGTAATCCGTCAAAGCATAGAAATATTGTTCGACAAATCTTGAAGACTGACTGCGTAAAACTGAAGCTAAAGAAGATCGAAAATGTTATATATATGTCACATTATTAAGGCACATATACTTATGCATTATTATCTAAGTAGATGTTAGCAGTTTATACATAGTACACTACATTTAATATTTTAAAGTGGGAAAAGAATTACGTAAAAACCAAGCGTTTTTATTCTGTTATGTAAATGATAATTTATCGGTTTAAAATGACATGTCGAGTGTATGTTATAATTTTGTTAATTTTTCACTTTTTATCTGCTTGTATAATTTCTTGTTTTCTTTTTCAACTTAATTTTTACGATGTTCTTTCTTATTGTACACTTTACTCTTTCACATTTTCGTTTATACCGAAAAAACTTGTGACACATTGGACAAAGAATTTCAAAAATGAATTCTAATTTTATTATTCACCTTAAGAAAAACAATACAAACTTATCAGGTGTGACAAAACAATCTATGATTTATAATTACAACAAAGTGCTCGAAAACGCTTTTTCTATATTAATTAGGTATGATCATTATTAGAAGAATACGAACATGTATAATACGCGTTATTTTGCAATAGAAAAGTAATAGGCGGAATTATATAACGTAGTAAAAAAGCTTAAAAATGCGCTGATTTAAGTTTAAATGTTTATACTAAAATGAAACAATGTAGAGATAAAACAAGTGAACAATTAAGTTTTTATAAACAAAACGTATTTTTGAAGAAAAAAGAAATTAGAAAACACATCACTTATGACGAATTATATTTCATAGTAATAATTATTGATTTCTTGAAATACTATATTTTTTATTAGGTTTGTAGTTTTTGAATGAGTACTTCACGTCGGTTTATTTCATAAGAGAAGTAAGTGTAATAAATAATCTGCAACAATAACTTTAGTATAGCACGTTGACAAAATGACAAGTAAGCAAAATAATTCGATTAACACACGATGTTTAGACCAGACAAATCTTATTATACATTTTGTATAAAAATCAATTTCTTACTTCTTATTTCTTACTTCGCAAACTGTAAATAGACAAGTAGCAACATAAATCTCGTAAATTGCATACAATGACAAACAATTTCATTTTAGTACTACAAATTAAAAGTATTCTACTTACTTTAAAACTATTTAGATTGCTATATTTATAGGTAGGTTTGCGTAACATTGTAGTCGTATGTACAATGCGACATTGATAATAAAAGTAATGGAAGTGTTCTACGATTAAGGATGTTGTTTGTATGTACAATCGTAGCAAAATGTAGCTGAAATTCGATGGTTGACAATTATACGCTTTTCTTGTGTATAGTGTAAGTAATAAAAATTACGCAGAATCTTATCGGTATTCATAATTAAAGTGCAGAAATGTAAGTTTTTGTTCTTTATTTTTTTTTTGTATTTTTGTATTTTTGTAGTGTTTTTTTACGTATAAATACTAACATTGTCATAGTTCCACGCGTTTTCACAGAGAAAATCACGCGTCATTTAGATAACACAATAAAACTTATATTTATTATCTTTTGACCTATCTAGCATCTGGCCAAAGTATTTAATCAAATATTTCTTCTATATGTAATTTCACTTTGTTCAAAGTAATTCCTATCAGGTTTTCTATTTATTCTAGTCACTTGAATTAACGCAGTTACACATTTTTCATAAAGGTACAGGTAAACTCGTAGCAAACTAAAATGCTTATTAACTTTGCTACAGTGAATCGAATATATATGAAACAGATATACCATAGACGTATTCATGTCCGCTGCTTTTGGAATCAATTCAAATTGTATGAAAACGCCGGACAACGAAGTTCTATACCAAGCAAAAAAATTATTTGAATATCATAACTTTTGGTTCGCAATCTTTGCGTGTGTACCACAAATTCCCAAATTCTTTGCTATTCCTTTCATTGATCGGAATACTTCGAAATTTTGATCAATATGTAAAATTCTTATTTAATTCTTAACATTTCAAAAATTGTTACTCGACATCTTTAAACGCGGTTTTAGAAAGCTTATACCAATATTATCGCGGTTCAATGATGAGATGTACACCGCCTTTGGGCGTACATAATACAGATGCTTTGTCGATGATAAGTGGCACCGAAGTCCGTGAGTGAAGTTTAACCTTGAACTTTGATAAGATATTTAAGATTCCAACTTTTGTCTGCATATAGCCAAACCGTTGACCTGAAAATTTAATAAGAAACATTTATTATTACCTCAAATCATATTTACCAAATGTTATAAATATATATAATTTAATAAGCTCGAAAAATGTGATTATTATAAAAACAAATGAAAAAGTATTTAATTAATTTTCGAGTTGAGTCTTACCGATACACATTCGTGGCCCTTCTCCAAATGGTAAGTAAGCGTACGGATGCCTAGCCGCTATTTGATCCGCGTCGAATCGTTCGGGATCAAACTTATCTGGATCCGGATATATCGCTGGATCTCTGTGTATTCCATGTACAGGTATAGAAATTAAAGTTCCTTTCGGTATGTGAATATCCGTTGTTGGAAGGTTTATAGCTTTGGTACAGATGCGATTCAGAATCGGCCCTGGTGGATATTTTCTCATAGTTTCTGCACAACGAGTAAAGTAACATAAAAACAGTAGTCTGCTATTATTAGCAAATACGTTAAAACGTAAAATTATAAATAACAAAAATAATATACTTACCAGATACTACTTTATGAAGATACGTCATATCGTTTACAGCATTGTAAGTCACTCCGCCGTGTTTTTTCAGGACTTCATCAATTTCTTGACGAAGCTTGTATTGTACGTCTTGATTTATTGCTAATTCGTACAAACAGAACGTCGCCGCAGTTGAGGCAGTTTCAAAGCCGCCTACGATGAAGGCGTATGCTTGCGCAGCCGCTTCGAGGATAGACATCTTACTCGTATTCGCTATAAATAAAACATTTTACTTTTTTATTTGTTTCATAAGTGTATATTTTTTATGGTATTGAACATTGTATTATATTTACAAGAAACGTCGGCGGTGTCGTTTTCGTCAGGCGCGACGTAGCTTTTCTCCATAAGCTCTATAAGTAGATTCATAAAATCATGTCTGACAACAGTGTGAGTTTGTCTGTATTTCACAGTATCTCGAAACATTTTTATGAAAAATTTCGAAGTATTCCGATCAATGAAAGGAATAGCAAAGAATTTGGGAATTTGTGGTACACACGCAAAGATTGCGAACCAAAAGTTATGATATTCAAATAATTTTTTTGCTTGGTATAGAACTTCGTTGTCCGGCGTTTTCATACAATTTGAATTGATTCCAAAAGCAACGGACATGAATACGTCTATGGTATATCTGTTGAGTACAAAATATCAGTATAGAACATGTACATTGTTTATATAATATATTGCGCAAATGGAAGAAAATATTTATATTGTATTTATATAACATTTCTTTAGTGTTTTATACGTAAGTAGTAAAAAATGTATTAAAAAGTTTTATCTTTTTTTTCTTTTTTTAAGAATGAGTATACCTCGCAAATATTTCTCTTATATCGATGCTCTCTTCGGTCTCGGCTATTTTTTCTAAAGATTTCCCGAATTCTTCGCCGCATTCTTTTAACACTCCAAACATTTGCTTGAGGTTTCTTGAATTAAATGGAGGTGTGAGTTTGGCGCGCAAATTTCTCCATTTTTTTCCATGCAATAAAAACAAATTGCCGGATAATGGGTCACTTTTTTCGTTAATGTAGAAGCCTCGATCATGAAAACTACCAAATTCTTTTGTCAGCACTATTCGGACAAGATCGAGATCGGCAATCACAAGGTTCGGCTTGAAAAATGTGTATATTCCGATAGCACGATGGTCTTTATATTGCAAGTAAATGTCGCGAAATAGTTCGCCTGTTAATAATTCCCAAAATTAAATTATGCCAATTATATACGTTATTTTAAAATATAATTAAAGTGATACACAGTGAAAGAAAAAGTTTTAGAATCCAAATTTTGCTATTTAGTTCGAGCATATTTACAGCTACCAAAGAAGTACTTTAATTTAAAAAAATATTATATTATTTCAACGCTTATAAGCTTGCTACTGTATCAGATAAAACATTATAGCTTACATATCACTAGCATATTCCACATTTTTACCTATCACAATTAGTTGTTTTAGTGTATTATATCTAACTTTGGATAAAAACGTGACTACTTGCAAATTTGTAAAAAATGTGTGATACATGTTTATTAAAAGAGTGTAAATTATGAATAGTTTATATACATCATGTATTGTTTTTTATGAAAAAAAGTACTTGCCTACTGATATTTTTCCAAGTATTAAAGATGTCACATTACCAGCTGGTACAATGGGATCGATGTAAAATACACCTTTCTTGCGCCAGAAATTGAACACCACAAACTTGTAATAAATATATACAGAACACAGAGCAACGACAAGAGCAGTTATTAAGCCTACAAGTAACATTTTGCTCTTTTTCCCGTAATGATAGCTAAACAAAATATATCTAACTTATCTGTTTGTAGTTGTTATATTTTTTGACAATTGTTACAATATGATAGGAATGTTTCGTCAGAGATCAATGCAAGTTGATGTTACTTGTTCGTTTAAAGACTACTGAAGTATAAAGATGTCGTGTAGATACTGAAGTATACTGTCGAGAAAGTTAATTTATATATGTGATTTTATCAAATTTTAGTCATTATCGGATCATATAAAGATAATTAACATATTATTTCTATTACATAATGCTTCTTTTTACTTTTAACTTTAAAAGGTTATCTTTTTATAAAAGTAAACGTATCTGGACGATGAAATTCGAAGATAAGTAGAATTGTTTTTATTAGAACTGTTTGAAGAAAGAGAAAAACTATTGCCACCTGGCAGATTTAAATTATATCTGTTACAAATTATATCTCTTATTGTTTTTATTGAGTGACGATAAAAATACGAAATGCTCTCAATGTCGGTACTCGCATTTTTACGCTTGCTACAAGATATAAGATAAAGTATTGTAAACTTGCCTTCTGACAAGTTTTTCACTTTCTTACTTACAAGTAAATTAATCTGTAGTTTTTTTTTTATATTTAAGTCAATGAAATAATGTAAATTAGTATGACATAATAAATAGATATGTGTAGTATGGAAATAAAATTAACTTCCTCGTTACATCTCATGTTCACATAGAAAATTAATAGACGTAACTATGTAACGTAGTAAAAAAGTCTAAGATAGTACTTATATAAAAGTTTTACAATGAAAGTAAAGCATTGTAAATATGAAAAAAATTAAACAATTAATTTTCACTCGGCACTGAACATTTGATTAAGAAACAAGTAAAGAAGTAAAAAAAAAGAAAATAAAAATACGTACGTATAACATGTAAGACTAAATGAAGATAGTTTTGTGTAATACCGTACTGTCTAAATTAGTTGTCTAATCTTTATATCTAAGTAGTCCAATCTTTATACTACAAAAGTATTTTTGTGCAGTTGAAGGATTGCAACAATATCTTTATCTTATATCTTGTAGTAAGCTGCAAGATAACAAGTATACGAAATAAGTGGAGAAAACAAAAGTATAGACAATGTGAAAATATCTCTTTATTAATTTTTTTCATGAAATTAATTTGTTGCTGCGCAGATTGTAGAAATGCGAGTACCGACATTGAGAGCACTTCGTATTCTTATCGTCACATCAATAAAAACGATAAGAGATATAATTTGTAAGATGATTATGCAAGTATTTATCTTTATGATCAATATCGGTATTCCATGATTGTATAATTGTTTGATTAATTTTCCCACGATTATTGCGACGTTGTAATTACTTGTAGTTACACAATTGACGTACGTAGTTTAAATGCAACTGCAGAGAGCGCGAGTTGTTTTATAGCGGTTCAATTATAAGAGGTACACCCCGCCTTTGTGAGTAAGTACTGTAGAAGCTTTGTCGAAGATCGGTGGCACCGGAGTTTTGGAATGAAGTTTTACTTTAAAGTTTGATAATATATTTATGATTTCAATTTTCACCATCATATAGCCGAGTCGTGTACTTGAAAAATACTAAGTAACGTTGTCTAGATTTTCTTTATTTTTACGAACAATTTCTATATTTTTTAGTGTTATGTCGTTTACATATAGTAAAAACTCTTACGGCCGATTTCTTCATATCTCTCGATATATAGCTATCCTCTAGATAAATTCCTCTGAGAACCAATAAGAAGAACCAATTTTGGGAGATATCTTCTAGATAAAGTTATCGAGAACTTATCTAGAAGTGAAAAAATTGGCTGTTAGTAACTAAGTTTATAAACGCATGTGATTGATTGGGTCTAGAATTCAAAATTATTTTTCTTATTTAGAGTTAACGCCTAACTGGTAGCAAAAAAAAATTTATGTATATATATATTTTTTTTGAGACTTTTAGAGATAATCGCGCAGTTAGAAATCAGAAAAATTAGTGCTGCCATACCGTAGAAGTTGAAATTGTGATTTTCAAACTTACCAGAGTTCTATTATATCATTTCACGAGTTTGAAAAATATAAATAATGTAACATATTTAGATATATTTTTCGATTATGCTAATCCTTATCGATACAAGCTCGCGGTCCTTTTTCAACTGGCAAATGAGTGTCTAGACGTCTGGCCGCTATTTGATCTGTGTTGAATCGTTCGGGATCAAACCGGTTTCAGATATATCTCCGGATTATAATGTATGCCAAGTACTAGTATGGTAATTAAAGTTTTTTTCGGTATGTAAATATTCGCAGTTGGAATCTTCTTGTTCAAGTAAGCGTTGCGCAATACTTCGTTTGTTAGTAAATTTCATAATTAAATTCGACAACTTATATGCTCTAATAAAAGTTATGTTAAAAAGTTAATAAAGATGTACATTTTAGAAATAATACAAATTACTAATGTAACAAAATTTTATTTAAACCGATCATATTTGCAGTGGTCAGAGAGTAATTTTGTTTAAAGAAACATTTTATTACAACTCATTTAAATTTGTATCAACTTATCTAAGCTTGTATATCAAAAGAAGCGATAAGCTTAATATAATCGAACGATCAAACGAGTCCGCCGAAAGCGGGCGAATTTTGATCAGGATTATACGAAATGTCTCGTTCGAAGATGATAATCTACATTATTATCATTGAGAACGAGACATGCAGTATAATTAAGCTTAAATTAAAAACCAAGTTCTTCAAATAACTCAATAAGTAACTGCGAATTATATAATTGTTTCCTCCGTAATTTGTGATGGTTTAAACAAAACAAAATTATATTATATTTTTTAATTTTATTTATAAATTATATGAAACTTATCTCTTTTTATTTGGCAGTATTTGTTGCAAAAAAAACAAGTGTCTCAAGAAATAAAGTTTTCGTCACGCGGTCAAAGCAAGATGATATCATTCTTTTTGAAGAATCGTGGAAAGTGGAAAATTAAAATTGAGGCACGATGAAGTAGCGACAGATGCTTGTATATAAATATTCTCATCAGTTTTTAGTAGAAAATGTTAACAATATATTTATATATTCATATATTTTATGACATCTTATCATCTAAATTAAAGTTTAAACAGCAAAAATAATTACGTAAGAAGTTTTTACAATTTGTTAAATATATAAATGACATTTTATTGTTCTAAGATGACGTATACTCACTTTTAAGTTGAAATTAAGTGGAATCATTTTTTTATTTATTGTAATTTTGTTATTATTGCGTTATGCAAGATTTCTTTTTAACACGTTGATTGCCACGCTACTTTGTAAGAAAATCTCCGTCAGGCCACGCGCGATGCTATACTATTTCTGATATTTTATAAGAATTGGTTATTTGAGGAAGAAGGAAACATTCCATTGAAATAATTTTTTTTAATAAACGTTTATGACAATTCAATCATCTCATATTTTGTGAAATAACTTTCGAAATACCTACCAATCTACCTTATAAGCACTCAAATAAGCGTCACCCGAGTACGGGTGACGCGGCCTAATCAGGATTTTTGACGTCACCCAAATACGGGTGACACGGCGGTCAACGTGTTAATTACGTTTTCTTTGGTCTTTACTTCTTTCTAATGTCATCTTATTTTAACCTTCGACTGTTTATAACAGTGAATAGTAACACTGTGTAATAAATTCAAAGCTGAATAAAAGTTTTGTCATTAAACAAAGAGAAACGATAAAAATTTTCCTTCTAGTGTAAGACAATCTTTGATCGATAACCAATTCAATGAAGATAAAATAAATAATTACTTTTTAATCGATAGCACTTTTTAAGCACTTATTGAATGCCAAGAAAACAATATGAGAACAAAATACAGATATGTAACTATTGTACTAATTATTGTTTTTTTTAGCGTATCTTCTAAATCACTGTGCTGTTAGTTATTATTAGTTATTTATTAGTTATTATTTGTTAGTTATTTATTTCAAAAAAAGTATTTTTGTGCACTAGAAAAAATACAACAATTTCTTTATTATAGCAAAGAGCAAGGTGTTAAGTATACAGTAACTGGATTAAAACGGGATAAATAATAAAAACATTATTTCTCTCCTGAAACCTTATATTGCACCGCAAAAGTAAGAAGGCACTTAGCGACATAAATCTTATACATATAATTGGCATTAGTGTTTTTTGAATAAAAGTTTTACATAGTTTATGTAGTTTCGAAATATTCACATACAGCTGAGTGTTAGTCTGATGTAACATTGATAGCAACGCAAGTCGAAAATATTTCGTGTTTTTATTGTTATGTCACCATAACATAATCAATAACATCTATAAAATAACACTTCAATGTCTGTTTGTAATATCGTTATTGCTACTATGTTGATGCTTGTTTCTATCATAATTTTGTTTGCGTCCTAATAACGACGATAATAATACTTATATAATACTTGTAAAATTTAATAATACTCATAAAATTGTTCTGCTTAGTTAAACTATAGTTTTAGAAAACGCGATTCTAATCCAGAAATCTGTTTTCTCGCGGTTCAATTATGAAATGCACACCACCTTTAGCCGTAAGTATAACGGGCGCTTCTTCCATAATGAGTGGTACCGGAGTCCGAGGATGAAGTTTCACCTTGAACTTCAATAAGATACTTAAAATACTAACTTTTACTTGCAGTAATCCAAACCGCTGAGCTGAAAATTTAATAAGTTACATACACTTTACATTTTTTTAGTTTTTTAAATTATATTTAAGAGAATGTTCGAACAAACGTATAATTTAGCGGGTTCAAAAACCACGAAACACTTTTTTGAGTATTTGATTATTTTATTTGTATATTAGGCCTTACCGATACAACCTCGCGGTCCTTCTCCAAATGCCAAGTAAGCGTATGAATGCCTTGTTGTTATTTGATCCGCGGTAAATCGTTCGGGATCAAACCTATCCGGATCCGGATATATCGCCGGATCTCGATGTATGCCGAGCACCGGAATGGTAATCAAAGTTCCTTTCGGTACGTGAATAGTAGTCGAAAGGTCTATGGCCTCGGTGCAAATGCGATTCAATACAGGCAGAGGCGGATACTTTCTCAGAGTTTCTGCACAACGTATTAAGGAGTATAAAATCCAGCAGTTACTGGCAAACAAGTTTATGTGAAAAAACAAAAGATTTTTTCTTTTTACAAAAGATATAAACTCACCATTTACTACTTTCTGAAGATAGATCATATCGTTCAGAGCATTGTAAGTCAGTTCACCGTGTTTTTCCATTATTTCATCAATTTCTTGACAAAGCTTATTCTGTATGTCTTGATGTAGCGCTAATTCGTACAAACAGAACGTCGCGGTAGTTGAGGAAGTTTCGAAGCCACCTATGAAGAAGACGTATGCTTGCGCAGCCGCTTCTAACATAGAAAATTTATTCGTAGCCGATGTTACTAAAACAAAACATCATTTCATATACCAAGCAGTCGTTTAGTAATTGCATATTTAATATTCAATATTAAAATATATATACGAGACACATCGGCGGCATTTTCTTTCTTGTCAGGCTCGATATAACCGTTCTCTATAAGTTGTATGAGTAGATTCATAAAATCGTGCCTGACGACATTGTGAGTTCGTCTGTATTGAACGGTATTCCGAAACATATTTATAAAGAAATTCGTGGTTCCCCGATCAGTAAGAGGAACGGAAAATAAATCAGCAATTTGAGGTGCAAACACAAAAATGGCATTCCAAATGGAACTGTACTCAAAGATTCTTCTTCCCCAATATCGAACTTCATTGTTCGGTTCTTCTACGCAGTTCACTTTGATACCAAAAGCAGCTGACATAATTATGTTTGTTGTATACCTAATGTGTACAAGAAACAGTAAGATGTACAATGTTTGTAATAATGTTTTTTTTAAGATCTGTTTTATTTTATATAACATTTTTAAAATTGTTTAGTTATTTGGTTCACATTTTTCTCAAAACTTTTTTGTTCTCTTTGAAATTCAATTTACCTAGCAAATATTTCTTTCATCTCGATGCATGTTTCGGCTTCGGCTATTTTGTCGAAAGATTTCATGAATTGTTCACAGCATTCTTTCAGAACTCCAAACATCTGCTTGAGTTTTCCCGAAGTAAATGTGGGTGTCAATTTGACGCGCAAATTTCTTCATTTTTTTCCGGGCAATGAAAACAAGTGGCCGGATAGCGGATCTATTTTTTCGTTACAGTACCAGCCGCGATCGTGGAAACTGCCGAAATTTTTTGTCAGCACTATTCGGACAAGATCGAGATCGGCAATCACAAGGTTCGGTTTGAAAAATGAATACATTCCGAAAGCTCGATGGTCTTTATGTTTTAAGTAAGCGTCACCAAATAGTTCGCCTGTTAATAAATCTCACATTTAAATCATACAATCTTATTGTTTCTTTAATAAAAAAAAATGAACAAACTAACATAAAAGATCAGTAGTGAGCTTATAGAGGTGTGTGATCGCGATATATTTCTACAAAATTTACGTTAAATATAAAGTGAAATGCAAATTGTTTTGAGTTCTGATTAGAGCCTTCATTAATCGCTTTGATAAATACTTCGAACGATTTCGAGTATTAAGTCAAATGCTTTGCTATAATACTTTTCACCGAACGAGTAACTTATCGTCTTTTTGTAATACAATAGGCTTCTTATTATAAATCGATTCTCAAATTTCTTGCATTTATTGACACTGAGTATTTATCATTGCGACTAGTGAAGATTCTGGTGAAAACTGGAAACATTTCGCATTCTATTGTATGAAAAAAATGGAGTTGCTTCAATGAAAGTCAACGTCACGGGCTGCCACAAAAATAAATAGTTCATTCACTAGCATATGCGATTAATTTATAATGTCTAGATTTTAAAAGCAATTATTTGCTATGTGTAGTGAAATAATATTGATGTTGCGTCAACAAACTATATTTCAATTAAACTGATGCTGTTGATTCAATATTATTTTTTTTTTCCATGTGTTAAATCTCTCGCATTATATACGATTTAAGTTGCGACAATATGTGCCATTGTCAAATAGGAAAGTTAGTCATACGTTGGCATTTTACTCGTTTTCTTTCTCTTTCTTATCTCTAGTTTTTTTTTTTATCTCTAGCTCAAAAAATCACGTGTCTGATACGCGGTTTTTATTTTAGGCCCAGAAAGCATATCACACGTTGTTGTAGCGCATGAAGTTAACGTAAATTTTGTATAAATATATCCATTACCAATTGTATATACTCACTACTGACATTTTGTATTTGTTTGTATTTTACAAACGTTTTATACTTTTTTATCATGTCGCTTTAAAATATACCTGAATATGTACAGTGGACCCAAAAAGAATTTGCATACCAAGTTTTTGTGTGATATCTTTATATAAATAAATGATGATACATTACCAAAAATAGTATTTATTAATAGTCGATTATGTGCTGAGATAATGTGCTGAGTAACATTTTTTAATAATGTGTTTTTAATAATGCGTCCAGTTTTTAATAGTTTTGTAAAATTACAAAACAGGATAATAATAATTAATAAAGAAAATACATTTGAATGCTAAAAACGTATTTGTACACGTGCGTTTTACATAGGAAATACACAATTTTTTTAAAGTTTTTAATACGAAACAAGAGTTTAATCTTGCACTCTGTATTAAATTATCTCGCGACACATCGATATGCATTCGAGCATTCGTAATTTTTTCGATAAATGCTACATTTCCAACTTCATTGTAAGACATACAAGCCCAAACTGTTATGTGTATTATAATGAAATATGGGTGTACAAATACTTTTTGGACCCACTGTACATAAGATGGAAATTTTATATCGATTTTACGGCTGCGTTCACTTGAAACGCTTTTTTTTCACTTGTTTAACAAAGAAGACAAAGAAAAAGAAGAGATTACAACGCATAATATATCCAAATTCATACACTGAGAACAAAACTCGTTGAAGAAATTATTATTTAAGCAGACTATGTATATGCAACAGTCAGCGATAATTAAATTTAATAATTTAAAGAAACATTTGATACTGCAATTTATCTAGGCTTGCATTTAACAAATAAACCATTATGGTAATTTGATATATCACAAGCTTGAAAAAAAAAAAAATACTTTAAATAACAGTTGACTACAAACACTAAATGCATTTTGATGTCATTACAAAATTAATTTTATTTCAGTGTATATATAATACGTATTTGTCGTGTAGAAACGAGGCTATTTGCATTAATTGCACAAAAGTAGTTACTAAAAGTCTCACGCTCTTTGAAAAATTAAAAATAAACTAATAGTTTATACACGATATATATTTTTTTAGAATAAAACTACTTACCTAAACGTGACTAATTGCAAATTTTCAAAAAATTTTTGATAAATGTTTATTAGAAGATTGTAAATTATGAATAGTTTATATACATCATGTATTTTTTTAAGGAAAAAAAGTACTTGCCTACTGATATTTTTCCAGTCACTAAAGGAGTCATATTACCAGTTGGTACCACAGGTTCGATGTAAAATACCCCTTTCTCTTGCGCCAAAAAGTGAACACCACAAACTTGTAATAAATATACACAGAACACAGAGCAACCACAATAGTAGTTATTAATCCTATAAGTAACATTTTTTGCTCTTTTTGTTTCTAATAATGTTTCAAACAAAAAACTTGTACGAAAATTATTTGTCTGTGTGTGCCTTAGTAGGTTTGCAGAAAAGAATAAATCCCAAAAATAAATGTTTTGTGATATAGTCACGTTGATGTTGTCTGAAGAATACTGAACAATCGACTGAAGCTTATGTCTTAGGGCTACTGCACGTGAAAAAATTTTAACCGTAACCGTTAGGTTGTAAGCAGTTCAACCAATTACAGACCAGTATTATCTTACATTAGCTGGAATACTGACCAGCGATTGATCGATTTGCTTACGACTTCACGACTACGTCTAAACTTTTGCCACGTGCAATGGTCTTTATATGTTTTTTTTTGTGGCTAAAGCAATTCACAGTTTTGGATATATTTATATTTTTGTGATATATTTACAACGTGCAGCAACGGTGGTAGAGATGCGCACAATATCAGCAAGCAGTTACTTGCTGCTTTGTGCGTATCCCCATTGCCCCGCTGCTGCATGCTGTAAATATATCACAAAAATATAAATATATCCTGTGTAAATATATCAAACTGTGAACACTGGGCTTAAGGGCTTTTAGGCTCCGCCCATACGCCATTCTGCAAATGAAAGTCTGATTCCTGGGCCAGTGGCTCAACCAATCGACTGAAGCAATTGTATAAACAGTGAGGCAAGCGGAAAAGTGAGGGCCATCACACATAAAATTACGTAAGAACGGAAGACGTAGCCGTAAGAAAATTGATCAATCAGAATGTAATCTATATCTCCATCACTTTTGAACGTAAATTCCTGATTGGTAAATTTTCTTACGGCTACGTATTACGGTTTTAAGTAATTTTACATGTGATGACCTTTACTTGTGTTTCGAAATTCACTGCCAGTATTAAAACTCTATATTCTCAACATAAGTTATGCACCACGTCATTGTTTTCAACATAAGTTTAAAACACTCGTATAATTGTCACATCAATAACAAACGATAAAAAAAATTATATGTACGATTATTCTGCACGTATCTATCTTCAATGTCGGTAATGACGTGTTGCATAACTTTTTTCTGACGTAAGTTAGTTTGCACAACGATGAACTAGTTAGTATCAGATATAGAACTTGTTTATTTGATTTAAATATTTTGGAAAACGGTTATAAAGAGTGTGAGAATTTTATCGCGGTTCAATTATAAGATGTACACCGCCTTTGGGCGTACACATTACAGATGCTTTGTCGAAGATGAGTGGCACCGAAGTCCGTGGATGAAGTTTAATTGTAAAGTTCAATAAGATATTTATAACACCAACTTTTGTCTGCATATAGCCAAATCGTTGACCTGAAAATTTAATAAGAAACTTTTTATTATTACCTCAAATCATATTTACCAAATGTTATAGATATATATAATTTAATAAGCTCGAAAAATATGATTATTATAAAAACAAATTAAGAAGTATTTAATTATTTTTCGAGTTGAGCCTTACCGATACACGTTCGTGGCCCTTCTCCAAATGGTAAGTAAGCGGACGGATGTCTAGCCGCTATTTGATCCGTGTTGAATCGCTCGGGATCAAACATGTCCGGATTTGGATATATCGCCGGATCTCTATGTATTCCGAGCACCGGTATAGTAATTAAAGTTCCTTTCGGTACGTGAATAGTAGTCGAAAGATCTATGGTCTTGGTGCAGATGCGATTCAGAAACGGCACTGGTGGATATTTTCTCATAGTTTCTGTACAACGAGTAAAGTAAGATACAAACAGTAGTCTGCAATTACTAGCAAACACGTTTATGTAAAGACGTAAAAGTATAAATAACAAAAATAATATACTTACCAGATACTACTTTATGAAGATACGTCATATCGTTTACAGCATTGTAAGTCACTNNGCCGTGTTTTTTCANNACTTCATCAATTTCTTGACGAAGCTTGTNTTGTACGTCTTGATTTATTGCTAATTCGTACAAACAGAACGTCGCNGNAGTTGAGGCAGTTTCAAAGCCGCCTATGAAGAAGGCGTATGCTTGCGCTGCCGCTTCCAGGATAGACATCTTGCTCGTATTCGCTATAAATACAACATCTCAATATTTTATTAGTTGCATAATTGTATTTCTTATATAGTATTGAACATTGTAGCATATTTACAAGAAACATCGGCGGTGTCTCCCTTGTCAGGCGCCACGTAGCCTTTCTCCATAGTTTGTATAAGTAGATTCATAAAATCATGTCTGACAACATTGTGAGTTTGTCTGTGTTGCACGGTATCCCGAAACACTTTTATAAAAAACTTTGAGATTGTTCTATCAATGAAAGGAATACCAAAAAAATCGGCAATTTGAGGTACAAACCCATAAATTGCGAACCAAAAAGTATGATATTCAAATAGTTTTTTCCCTTGGTGTAGAAATTCACTGTCCGGCGTTGTCATACAATTGGACTTGATCCCAAACGCAGCGGACATGATCACGTCTATAGTATATCTGTTGAGTACAAAATATCAGTATAGAACGTGTACATAGTTTATATAATATATTCAACAATTGGCAGATAATATGTATATAGTATTTATATAACATTACTTCAGCGTTTTATACGTAATTAGTAAAAAATGTATTAAAAACTTTTCTTTCTTTCTTCTTCTTTTAAGAATGAGTATACCTTGCAAATATTTCTCTTATATCGATGCTCTCTTCGGTCTCGGCTATTGTTTCTAAAGATTTCCCGAATTCTTCGCCGCATTCTTTCAGAATTTCAAACATCTGTTTGAGTTTTCCCGAAGTAAATGTAGGTGTCAACTTGACGCGCAAACTTCTCCATTTTTGTCCAGGCAATAAAAACAAGTTGCCGGATAACGGATCTACTTTTTCGTTACAGTAGTGTCCACGATCATGGAAACTAGCAAATTCTTTTGTTAGCACTATTCGGACAAGATCGAGATCGGCAATCACAAGGTTCGGCTTGAAAAATGTGTACGTTCCGATTGCGCGATGGCCCTTATATTTCAAATAAACGTCGCGAAGTAATTCACCTGTATTAAATTAAATTGTACGTTTAAAATTGTACGTTCTTTTGAAATTTAACTGAAAAGAAACACTGAGAAGAAATAATAGTTTTTAAATTGAAAAAATCTAGTTTTTTGTGAATATATTTGCAGTTAGTAAAGAAATAAGCACTTAGTAAAGAAATAATCTACTTTAAATAAATAATGTGTTCATGCAACTCTCATAAGTTTGGTAACACGTTTTTTGTAGAATAGATTTTATAGATAAATGTGTAGTAGTTATATATCACTTTTTTCGTAGAATAGATTTTGTAGATACTTTTGTAATATGTTATAATTATAAAAAAACAAAACTTTAGTGGGTGCTACTTGTTGATTTCACTACTTTTATCAAGCAGGTTTTTAGAGAAGGAATGTTTTGTAGTAATGTTTTTCATATATATTTTGTATATATTTTGTATATATATTATTCTATACAAAATATTACTACAAAACATTTTTTCTCTAAAAACCTGTTTTACAAAAGAAGTGATATCAAAAAGTAGCACTAAGTAAATTTTTGTTTGTTTTATAATTATAACATACTACAAAAGTATCTACAAAATTTATTCTAAAAAAGAAGTGATATATAACTAGTACAAATTTATCTACAAAAAAAATCTAATTTTTGTAAATCAGGTTTTATATAGAAAAAGAACTTTTTGTATTTTGTAAAAACATTTTAGAGGAAAAAGGTTTTGTAATACAAAAGAATGTTTTGTAGTATATAATGTTGTAGAACAGATTTTATAGAAAAAGAATTGTTTGTAGTTTTATATCAAGTTTAAAACTTATTAATTTAAATACAATACGTTTTGTGCGTGTACTTGGCGCCTGTTCTTACCTTGTTTTTGAAAAAAAAAGTTTTTTGAGATATTACATATTTTATAGTATTATTTACTTTTGTAAAACAAGTCTTATAAAAAAACAAGTTTTTATAGTATTGAATCAATTTTGTATTTTATAAAAGTAAAGTATAGTTTATTAGGTTTTTAATTATTAATTTTTAATGTTTTACTTTATAAAGTTAAAGTATATAAAGTGTAGTTATTTTTTTGTGTCAAATTTCAAAACAGTTGATGAAAAAAGAAGTATATCGGAAATGTTGCGGGTGCGAAGAAATTTTTTTATCCGTTTTTTTATTTAATTTTTTGTCATAAATTTGAAGCATATAGTTTGTAGTCATTTTTTTTACCAATTTTCACAACAGTTCATTAAATTTATATATACCCTAAAAATTATTATTTATTTATTAGTTGTGAATATATGTATTTGTCAAGAGGCGTGATTAGTCCGTGATAAGAAAAAAAAGGTGGAAGCGCACAGTCAAATGTTGATTTAACATTATGGCACAAAGATATTTGCAGGATTTTTAGTTGTTGACACCTTTCTGCAACGGCACTCGCAACAGTGAGCGCATTGCGTTTAGAAATGATGCCAGTTTGTGGACGCTAGCAGCATGCAACAGCAAGTAGAGAGGATATAAGATATAATATCCCGAGAAAAAATAGAAACATATGATTATGTAAGATTATATATAAATAATAAAATTGCGTGAAATTTTGGATTTGATTTTACATGATCACATGAAATCACATCTGACTTGTATAAAATCTTATATGATCATATAAAACCATATCCGACCCATATGTAATCCTACATGATCCTACATGGTTTTCCATTTTTTTTCGGGATAAACTACGCACAAGAAACAGACTAACGGCTAGGCTTCTCGCGGCTGTTAGTGGTAGTTATAGCTATAGGGAAAGAAAAAGAGCGGTTATACAGGGTGTCCTAGAATTGCCGTACAATCTCTCGTAGTCAGATGGAAGGAATAAAACCGAGTCAAAAAGTCATGAACCATTTTTTTTTATTACTTATAATAAAAGAGTAATTATTGAGTAAATCAGGCCAAGCGCCGACCTTTAGCCAGACGTACGTCACTGAGCCGCGCGCCTGGTGTGTGTGAGCACTTCACGCGGCTTACTGACGAGCGCCTGACTATAAAAATCGGCGCTGATTTATTCAAGAATTAGTTCTATTATAAGTAATAGAAAAAAATGGTTCAGGACTTTTTGACTCATTGTCAGTTTTATTCCTTCTGTCTGCCTACGAGAGATTGTACGGTACTTCTGGGACACCCTGCATATGGTCCGTCTTCTACTGCTCGAAGAACGAAGCGCCGAGCGTACACGTACACGGCTGTTCGCCTGTGTGCGTAGTCCCTCTGCTTGCTGCTGCATGCTAAAAAAGCCAACACCGATACGTCACGTTCGGAAACACCATTCGTGTACACACGAGCGTCATTCTATCTTTGTTTTATATTTAATGAGCAATAAAGATAAAATATACGTGAGCAATCTTTCCGAACGCAACCATGACGAAAACAATGTTGATCTGGCCAAGAACCGGTTGTGGAAAAAATTAATCCTCAAAACCAGTATCTCGTTTTCAGCCAGACAACATTGAATGTTTTTTAGCGAAAAAACACAGACAAGGTCAAGCACAAAAAACTTGTGTGAAGCTGCTTAATACATCATTTAAAATAGTTCCCGTACGGCAGTTATATTCAAAACTAAAATCTACCGTCAATACAAAAAGTAGGATCACAGCGCATAATTTTCACGAGAGATTATACTCTTACACACTAACATTCTAAAAAAAGTATTTACAAAAGAAAAGAACATGCGCCAAGTACATAAAACCTATCCATGAATATACAAATTATCTATTACATAAATCTCTTTTTTCTGTATAAATAAAAAACACAAACAATCAATGCAATTAGCCAAGTATTGGACCCAAGACTGTAGACTTCATATATGTATAAAACGGCTTAAAACAAAAGTAAAGTAGAAAACTTGGCGTACTCGAATCGTATATGGGTAATTCTCAAAAAACGTAATCTCCGTGGACTGTAATCTCCGTGGTATATTGACATAAAAAACATAGATAAGTTTTTTATATTGCATAGTCACGTATTCATATTACGAATGGTGACTTAAACTGGTATAAAAAAACATAATTCACCGCTATCCGTTAGTTAATAATAATTATTTTTTATCAAAACTGAAAGGTAAAATTTACGCGTTCACAGAGAATCACCCATATATATACATATATGTATATACAAGTCATACTAACACACAAAAAAGAATTTCAACGATAAATATCTATAAATGAATGAATTAATAAATCACAACTACCATATTAGCATTTATGATATTTTAGAATTTAAAAAAGTAACATTATATCATATTAAAAAATGTGATGTTAAATATAAAACAAAAAATGTGATATCAAATATAAAACACAGTTATGAAAAAGTTTATCTTACATACGGTATATCTATCGATCAGATTTATTTGATTACAATTGATAACGGTTCAATCATGATTAGGCTTGTCAAACTTATAGGGAACGATTGATTCGAATTGTAATATTGTAATATTGAAGACGATAGCGATAGCGATAATTGTAATGTATTATCTACTGAAAAAGATATCAATAACTGTTTCGATATCATGTATATAAAATTGTAACAGTAGCATTTAACTGAAAAAGAAATCGAAAGCCGTGTTCGCATAGGGCACGATCTATTGGAAGACACTGCAACATGTGTTGTGCAGCTGCATAGTTGCAAACCTTTTCCCTTTTTCTTTATATATGTATTCGGCCGTCTTGCTGCCTAGTTTTACAACACATGTCGATCGCGCGAGTTTGAGCAGAACGAAGGCGACAAGATTTCCGTTTTATTTTATGACTCGATTTCACTTTTGAGTCGAGTCCTAGCGTCAAATTCCAAGAGCAACGAGCAGTCTAGTTTCGTTTGCATCGAGAGAAAGTTCACCGTCTCGTAACTTGTTCATACTTTTCTTGCGCAACACCGTTAGTGTGGCATCTGCGATAGTTATTCGCGAACATCGCCTTCGTCTTGTTCATCGTGACTTTTCGCCACGCTTTGGCGCGAGCTCTGCAACGCGATCACCGTTTTCGTCTACGCATCCTACGGCAAAGACATTTCCACGCGCTGACTTTTAATAAAACGACGAGCAATCAAATCAAGGTTCAAGTGCCTGCGTTATTTTATTTCTCTACCTGTGATTTCTATCCATCTCTTGCCCTAGTCGGGACGGAACCGGTATTTTGGTTTCGGTGAGGAGTCGTGCTGACCCGCTTCACACCGCAACAATAACAACGATAAAGAGAATATAAATTTTTACTACCGAATGACAAAATTGTTACTTTCTAAAAAAACATATTAATGATAAAGATAAAAACGTCGAAAAATTGAAATATCAAATTAAATCTGATCGCTGTGCAACTCACATTTAGACTGGCCGTATCAGATGTTTTAAAAAATAAGAAAAAACTGCAGCTATATATACTAAATGAAGCTAGAGAAGTGTGCAAAAAGTTACGAGTATCAGAAGTAAAAAGTATATTAAAAGCAATGCAAAAGAAAAATTTTCGAAATTGTCGAGATCAAAAAATGGTGCCCCTATACCAGTACCAATAGTTACATTTTACATATCATAAAGTTTTTTTTAGGAGAATTACTTGCCTAGTGACAGTTTTCCTCTTAATACCGGAGTCAGATTACCTGTTGGTACAACGGGTTCGACGTAAAATATACTTCTCTTGCGCCAGAAATTGAACACCACAAACTTGTAATAAATATATACCGAACATAGAGCAACGACAAGAGCAGTTATTGCTCCTACAACTAACATTTTTGCTTTTTTTTCGTAATAATGTACAACACGAAAAACAATTGTACAAAAAGTATCTGTATATTGTACTTTTGTAGTTTAGCAGAAAAAAAAAATTAATATCAAAAATTAATGTTTTGTCACGCGGTTCAAGCAGAATATCGTTCGTTTAAAAACTTCTGAGGAACGCAAGTGTAAAACTGAAGCCACGAATTCGGCGTAGCATCTTTTATACACACACACAAACTACGTAAGAACGCAGTCGTACCAAACCTGACTATTTGGAATGTATCCTATATATTATATTCACCACTTATGGACGTAAATTTCTTTCCGGCTACTTCTTTCGATCTTAAGATAATTTACGTAATGATCTTTCTTTGTTTTTTTTTTATATATATACGATACTTTTGATATTCTCATAAACATACTTTTTTTTTTTATTCTAAAGTTCGACTGTTTATAAAGATACTGTTTGTAGAAAAATGATTCAGCAAATCGACGATAGCGTTATCTTTGATAGATCGTAAAATAGTAAACTATCCAAATATACAACTTATCTATTACATAAATCTCTTTTTTCCGTATAAATAAAAAACACAAACAATCAATGCAATTAGCCAAGTATTGGATTCAAGACTATAGATTCCATATATGTATAAAACGGTTTAAAACAAAAGTAAAGTACAAAACTTGGCGTACTCGAATCGTATATATATACATATATGTATAAACAAGTCATAATAACACACAAAAAAGAATTTCAACGATAAATATCTAAATGAATGAATTAATAAATTACTACTAACATATCAGCATTTATGATATTTTAGAATTTTAAAAGTAACATTATATCATATTACAAAATGTGATGTTAAATATAAAACACAAAATGTGATATCAAATATAAAACAAAGTTTTAAAAATGTTTATTTTACATACGGTATATCTATCAATAAATCCGATTTATTTGTATACAATTGATAACGGTTCAATCATGATTAGGCTTGTCAAACTTATAGGGAACGATTGATTCGAATTGTAATATTGTAATAATGAAGACGATAGCGATAGCGATATTTGTAATGTATTAAGCCTTTTGCACAATGGAAGAAATAGCTATTGCGATAGAAATAAAACCAGTTTTAAAGAATTTGTATTTATAAATAACAGTAGAAACATACACAGAATCTAACATACACCAATACAAATGTATCAATGCATATCAGAAAACGAAATAAGCAATAGCGATAAAATTTCCGACGAGTTGGAATTCTGTGTCTATTGCTTATCTCTCACTATTCCTTCGCATTGTGCAAGAGGCTTTATCTACTGAAAACGATATCAGTAACAAAAATAAAGAATATGAATTTTTACTATCAACTGACGAAAATGATACTTTCTAAAAAATCATACTAATGATAAAGGTATAAACGTCGAAAAATTAAAATATCAAATTAAATCTGTTCGCTGTGCAACTCACACTTGGACTGGCTATATCAGATGTTTTAGAAGATGAGAAAACTGCAGTTATAATAAATGAAGATAGAGTAGTGTGCAAAAAGTTACGAGCACCAAAAGTAAAAAGTATAGTAAAAGCAATGCAAAAGAAACATTTTCTAAATTGTCGAGATCAAAAGGTGATCCCCTTATACCAGCACCAATAGTTACATTTTACATATCATAGTTTTTTTAAGGAGAATTACTTGCCTATTGACAGTTTTCCTCTTAATACCGGAGTCAGATTATCTGTTGGTACAACAGGTTCGACGTAAAATATACTTCTCTTGCGCCAGAAAGTGAACACCACAAAGTTGTAATAAGGACCGGCCCAGTGGTCTCGCGGTCTGAGTGCAGAGGCTGCTAATCTGGAGGGTCCCGAGTTCGAATCCGCTCACCATCTAAGGATTTTTTCTGGGCCAGTCCCCTTCAACCGAGTTTATCCGGTTGATCGGCGAACTAAATCGGGCCTCCAAAAATTAATTCAGGTGTAATCCCGAATTAATTCCCCCTCTACAAGGTGATCATAGTCACCAACATCTTGAACACGAGCCCCGACACAGATGGGCATGCCCTCTGAAAGAAGGCCGTGTATCGTATGGTAGTTAGTGTACTGCACAACCTTCCTCCCCCTAACTTACTATACACTTCTACCAAACAAGGTCTGGCACATGTACGAAAATTATCTGTACATATGTACCTTTGTAGTTTCGCAGAAAAAAATTAATACTTTGTCACGCGGTTCAAGCAAGATAGCGTTTGTTTAAAGACTTCTAACGAACGTATAAAACTTGAAGCCACGAATTCGGCAAAGTATCTTTTTTATACACACACACAATTACGTAAGAACGGAGTTGTACTAAAACTGACCATTTGGAATGCATCCTATATATTTACCACTTATGGACGTAAATTTCTGATTAGTAAATAAATTTCTTTCCGGCTACTTCTTTCGATCTTAAGATAATTTACGTAATGATCTTTCTTTGTTTTTTTTACGATAATTTTGATATTCCCATAAACATACATTTTGTTTTATTCTAAACTTCGACTGTTTAAAAAGATACTGTTCGTAGAATGATTCGGCAAAACGACGATAGCGTTATCTTTGATAGATCGTTGCATAACTCTGTTTTGCGCACTATTAGTTTGATCTTATTGACATTGTTATTACTTAGTAGCAGAATTTTGCGCAGTTTAACCGCGGATTTAGAGACTATGATAATTTTATCGTGGCTCAATTATAAGATGTACACCGCCTTTAGGCGAAAGTATAACGGGTGCTTCATCGATGATAAGTGGCACCGGAGTTCGAGGATGAAGTGTAACCTTGAACTTTGCTAAAATATTGAAGATACCAACTTTTGTCTGCATGTAGCCAAACCGAGTACCTAAAAATTTGAAAAATAACAAACTTTAATAATTTTTATTGTTTCAAATCGAGTTGTTTTGAAAGAATGAGTACATGTGTTATACATATACAACTTCATCATAAGCTCGAAATTTACAAATAATTTAAAGAAATACTTTTGAAAAAGTTTTTAATTATAAATAATTTTTAATTATAAATTTTTAATTGTAAATATTTGTTAAACAGTTTTTATTTATTTTGATTAAGCCTTACCTATACAGACTCGAGGCCCTTCTCCAAAAGGTAAGTAAGCGTACGGATGCCTAGCCGCTATTTGATCCGCGTCAAATCGTTCGGGATCAAACTTATCCGGATTCGGATATATCGCCGGATCTCGCTGTATGCCGAGCACCGGTATAGTAACTGAAGTTCCTTCCGGTATGTGAATATTCGTTGTTGGAAGGTCTAAAGCTTTGGTGCAGATGCGATTCAGCATTGGCAGAGGTGGATATTTCCTAAGAGTTTCTGCACAACGCATACATAGTAGCATAAAAACAATAATCTGCAATTACTGGCAAACACACATATGTACAGATCTACACATTATAACGCACAAAAAAAAACTATAATTACCAGATATTACTTTGTGAAGATACGTCATATCGTTTACAGCATTGTAAGTCACTTCGCCGTGTTTTTTCAAAACTTCATCAATTTCTTGACGAAGCTTGTTTTGTACGTCTTGATTTATCGCTAATTCGTACAAACAGTATGTCGCCGTAGTTGAGGACGTTTCAAAACCAGCTATAAAGAAGACGAATGCTTGCGCAGCCGCTTCCAACATAGTAATCTTACTTGTACCCGCTATAAATAAAACATCTAAATTGTATACCAGTTGCGTAAATATATACTGAACGTTATATAGTGTATTTACAAGAAGCATCGGTTGTATCTTCCTTCTCGTCAGGAACGACGTAGCCTTTTTCCATAAGTTGTATAAGTAGATTCATAAAATCGTGTTTTTCAATATTGTGAGTTTGTCTGTATTTTACGGTATCCCGAAACATATTTATGAAAAAATTCGAAGTACCCCGATCAAGAAGAGGAATGGCAAAGAAATCGGCAATTTGAGGTGCAAACAGAAACAAGGCATTTTTAAAAGAACCTAGTTCGAGGACCTTTTTTCCCCAATATCGAAATTCATTGTCCGGTTTTTCCAAGCAGTTGGATTTGATTCCGAAAGCTGCTGACATAATTATGTCTGTTGTATATCTGTTGCACACAAAATAGCATTAAAAAACATGTACATCGTCTATAATAACATTTTATAGATAATATTTAGTTATATTTTTTATATCAGTTTTTCTGGTTTTTTCAGGCAAGTAGTTAAAAGTGCCGTAAACACTCGTTTCTTTCTTTCAAAAAACATACAGTTTACCTTGCAAACATTTCTTTTATTTCGATGCATGGTTCCGTTTCGGCTATTTTTTCCAAAGATTTTGCGAATTCTTCGCCGCTTTCTTTCAAAATTGCAAACATCTGCTTGAGTTTTCCCGAAGTAAATGTAGGTGTCAACTTGACGCGCAAATTTCTCCATTTTTTCCCAGGCAATAAAAATAAATGACCGGATAATGGGTCAACTTTTTCGTTACAGTAGAAGCCCCGATCATGAAAACTAGCAAATTCTTTTGTCAGAACTATTCGGATAAGATCGAGATCGGCAATCACAAGGTTCGGCTTGAAAAATGTGTACGTTCCGATAGCGCGATGGCCCTTATATTTCAAGTAAATGTCGCGAAATAGTTCGCCTGTGAATAATATTTTAAACTTAAATTATGTAAAGTAACGTCCTTTTACAATGGGTTTAAGGAATTACACATTGAAAAAATAAGAGTTATGGAACCAAAGCATATTTTATATGTTTTCATATCATAACTACACACATCACTAGATATTACATTATCTTTAATGTAATATCTAGTTTTTTGTAATAAAAAGTAGCTATATGGAGCTTTGTAAAAAATAAGAATAAAAGGTGAACGCTTATTGAAAACTTGTAAATTAATAATTACTACTAATTATTAATAACAATTTATAGGTATCATATAGTTGTTTTTATATGAATACTTGCCTACTGATATTTTTCCAATTACTAACGATGTCACATTACCAGCTGGTACAACGGGATCGATGTAAAATACACCTTTCTTGCGCCAGAAAGTAAATACCACAAACTTGAAATAAATATATAGAGAACACAAAGCAATTACAATAGCAGTTATTAATCCTATAAATAACATTTTGCTCTTTTTTCTCTTAAATATATTCCGAACAAAAAAAATTATATGAAAATTTATGTGTGTTGAGCGTTATATTTTTGCAAAAACAATAAGTGTCACAAAATTAAATGTAGCAGTAAGCCGTCAGAGCATAGAAATACTGTTCGATAAATCTTGAAAACTGACTGCGTAAAACTGAAGCTAAAGAAGATCGAAAATGTTATCTATATGTCACATTATTAATGCACATATACTTATGCATTATTATCTCAGTAAAGGTTACTGGTTTATTTATCTTGCATGACGTTTGATATTCTAAAGTGTGACTAAGCAAAATAATTATGTAAAAAATAAGCGTTTTTATTCTGTTATGTAAATGATACTTTATCGTTTTAAAATGACATGTCGAGTGTATGTTTTAGATTTGTTATCTTTGCAATTTTTATCTATTGTTTATACTTTCTTGTTTCTTTTTAAGTTTAATTCTTACGATGTTCTTTCTTATTGTACACTTTAATTTTTCACATTTTTGTTTATAAAAAAAGAAACTTGTGACACATTGGACAAAGAATTTCAAAACTGAATTCCAATTTTCTTATTCACCTTAAGAGAAACAATACAAACTTATCAAGTAGTATGACAAGACACTCTATGATTTATAATCACAATGAAGTGCTATAAACGTTTTTTCTATACCAACTAATGACCATTATTACAAGAATAGGAACATTTATACTACGCGTTATCTTGCAATAGAAAAGGAATAGACGGAATTACATAACGTAGTATCGAAGCTTAACAAATTGCTGCAACTAAGGTTAAATGTTTAGTTGATAAAATTGAAAACTGTAAAGATAAAATAAGTAAAAAATTTAGTTTATTTAAACAAGCCGTACTTTTGAAGAAAAAACAAATGAGAAAACTACACATCACTTATGACGAAGTATATTTCATAGCAATAATTATTGTTTTCTTAAAATATTATATTTTATATTACTATCGTTGTTTTTGAATGATTATTTCACGTGGTTTTATTTCATAAGAGAAGTAATTGTAATAAATAATCGGCAACAATAACTTTATTATAGCACGTTGACAAAATGACAAGTAATCAAGGTAATTCGATTAACAGATGATGTTTAGACAAGAAAAATCTTATTATACATTTTTGTATAAAAATCAGTTTCTTACTTCGCAAAATGTAAATAGACAAGTAGCAACATAAATCTCGTACATTGCATACAATAACAAACCAATTTGAGTTTAGCACTACAAATTAAAATCATTCTACTTTAAAACTATTTAGATTGTTGTATCTATATTTAGGTTTGCGTAACATTGTAGTCGTATGCACAATGCGACATTGACAATAAAAGAAATAGAAGTGATCTACGCGATTGAGGATGTTTGTATGTACATTCGTAGCAAAAAGTAGCTGACATTCGATTATTGACTAATATACGCTTTTCTTGTGTAGTTTGAGTTATAAAAATTACGCAGAATCTTATCGGTATTCATAATTAAAATGCAGAAATGTAAGTTTTTATTTTTTATGTAGTTTTTATTTATTGTTTTGTAGTTTTGTATTTTTGTATTGTTTATTTACGTTTAAATACTAACAGTGCCATATTGTTACGCGTTTTCACAGAAAAAATCACGCGTCATTTAGATAACAATACAAATTATATTTATTATCTTTCGAACTATCTAGCATTTGGTCAAAGTATTTAAGAAAATATTTCTTCTATATCTAATTTCATTTTCTTCAAAGTTTAAACTAGTTCCTATCATTTTATTTATTTGATCTAGTTACTTGAATTAACGCAGTCACACATTAAAGTTATAAGTAAACTCTTTGCAAACTGATATGCTTATTATCTTTGCTACAGTGAATCGAATATATATGAGACCAATATGTAAAATTCGTATTTAATTCTTAACATTTCAAAGTTGGTACTAGACGTCTTTAAACGCGGTTTTAAAGAGCTTATAACAATATTATCGCGGCTCAATGATGAGATGTACACCGCCTTTGGGCGTAAGTATAATGGGCGCTTCATCGATGATAAGTGGCACCGGCGTCCGTGAGTGAAGTTTAACCTTGAACTTTGATAAGATATTTAAGATTCCAACTTTTGTCTGCATATAGCCAAACCGTGTACCTGAAAATTTACAAAGTTACATGCTTTTTACATATTGTGTTTAGTTTTTTAAATTATATTTGAGAGAATGTTATCAGACGTATAATTTAATAAGTTTGAAAAATACAAAACAATTATTGAAGGTTTTAATTATTCTTCGTGAGTACTAAGTCTTACCGATACAAACTCGTGGTCCTTCTCCAAATGGCAAGTAAGCGTACGGATGTCTAGCCGCTATCTCATCCGCGCTGAATCGTTCGGGATCAAACTTGTCCGGATCCGGATATATCGCCGGATCTCGCTGTATGCCAAGCACCGGTATAGTAATTAAAGTTCCTTCTGGTATGTGAATATTCGTTGTTGGAAGGTCTAAGGCTTTGGTGCAGATGCGATTCAGCATTGGCACAGGTGGATATTTCCTAAGAGTTTCTGCACAACAATACGGAAAAAAAATGATATTGGATCAACAGTATCATTTTAACCGTTTTAGTGCCAGGGGTTTTTAAAAATCCGTGTCGGATTGTGCCATGAAGCGCGATAGCGCTTCCTTCATTTATCTGCGAGTAATGCCGATCGACGCGGTCGCGCTGCTCCTTTTTTTCGTCGAAAAATGCCACGCGGCGCGTTCGCGCTTCATATTTTTTAATAATTACGAGAGGGAAGTCTGACAGACTCGCGACAAGGTACACTCCAAACCGAGAGCGTTGCTAACTGCCGATCGCGATCGAACATCGCGATACAGTTTCTTACAGCACGCGAACAGCGCGATCGCGCTGCGTGGCACTAAAACGGTTAATTGAAATATATCTTGCTGATGCAACATCAATATTATTGCACTATACACAGCAGATAGATGCTTTAAGAATCTAGACATTAAATTAATCGCATGTGCAATTGATTGAACTATTTCTTTTTGTGACAACCCGTAACGTCAATTTTAATTGAAGCAACTCCATTTTTTTTGTGAAATAAAGTAGCATAAAAACTGTAGTCTGCAATTACTAGCAATCACGTTTATGTAAAGACGTAAAATTGTATATAACAACATCAATATAATTACCAGATACTACTTTATGAAGATACGTCATGTCGTTTACAGCGTTGTAAGTCACTTCGCCGTGTTTTTTCAAGACTTCATCAATTTCTTGACGAAGTTTATTTTGCATATCCTGATTTAGCGCTAATTCGTACAAACAGTATGTCGCCGTAGTTGAAGAAGTTTCGAAGCCAGCAACAAAGAAAACGAAAGCTTGCGCAGTCGCTTCTAACATAGAAATTTTATTCGTAGCCGCTGTCAATAAAAAGAACAAAACAATTTTGTATAGCAACCAGCGCGTAAGTACATGCTTTATTATATGGAATGTTATAATATATTTACAAGGCGCATTGGCGGTATCTCCCTCTTCGTCAGGCGCGACGTAGCCTTTCTCCATAAGTTGTATAAGTAGATTCATAAAATCATGTCTGACAACATTGTGAGTTTGTCTGTATTGCACATTATCCCGAAACATATTTATAAAAAAATTTGTAGTGTTTCGATCAAAAAAAGGTAAAGAGAAAAAGTCGGCAATTTGAGGTGCAAACGCAAAAATGGCATTTTTTAGAGCACTTTGATCGAGAACTTTCCTTCCATAATATCGAAATTCATTGTCTACTTTTTCCATGCAGTTGGATTTAATTCCGAAAGCCGCTGACATAATTATGTCTGTTGTATATCTATTGTTCAAAAAATAGCATTACACAACACATATACTGTCCATTTTATAGATAATATTTAGTTATATTTTATATAATAGTTTTTCTGTTTTTTGTCAGATAAGTAGATAAAAGTTCTGTAAAAACTCTGTCTTCTTGTTTAAAAAAATCAGTATACCTTGCAAATATTTCTTTTATCTCGATGCTCTCTCCGGTCTTGGCAATTTTTTCTAAAGATTTCCCGAATTCTTCGCCGCATTCTTTCAGAATTTCAAACATCTGTTTGAGTTTTCCCGAAGTAAATGTAGGTGTCAACTTGACGCGCAAATTTCTCCATTTTTTCCCAGGCAATAAAAATAAATGACCGGATAATGGGTCAACTTTTTCGTTGCTGTAAAAGCCTCGATCATGAAAACTAGCAAATTCTTTTGTCAGCACTATTCGAACAAGATCGAGATCGGCAATCACAAGGTTCGGCTTGAAAAATGTGTACGTTCCGATAGCGCGATGGTCTTTATATTTCAAGTAAATGTCGCGAAATAGTTCGCCTGTTAATAGTTCCCAAAATTAAATTATGCCAACTATATACGTCATTTTAAAATATAATTAAAGAGATACACAGTAAACAAAAAGTTTTAGAATCAAATCTTGTTATTTAGTTCGAGCATATTTATAGCTACCAAAGAAGTACTTTAATTTAAAAAAATATTATATTATTTCAACTCTCTTATAAGCTTGCTACTCTATCACATAAAACATTATATTGTACATATCATTAGCATATTTTATATTTTTACATATCACAATGAGTTTATAATATAGTTTTAGTTTATAATATCTAAATTTTGTATAAAAACGTGACTAATTGCAACTTTTTAAAAAATTTTTGATAAATGTTTATTAAAAGATTTTAAATTATGAATAGTTTATATACATCATGTATTTTTTTATGAAAAAAAGTACTTGCCTACTGATATTTTTCCAATTATTAAAGATGTCACATTACCAGCTGGTACAACGGGATCGATGTAAAATACACCTTTTTTGCGCCAAAAAGTAAACACCACAAACTTGTAATAAATATATACAGAACACAGAGCAACCACAATAGCAGTTATTAATCCTATAAGTAACATTTTGCTTTTTTTTCCGTAAAAATGTTTTAGACGGAGTAAATGTATACAAAAATTATCTTTTTGTGCTTGACGTTATTTTTGCAGAAACAATAAGTGTCACAAAAGTAAATGTTTCGTCACGCGGTCAAAGCAAAGTGATATATCGTTTAGACAAATCCTGAAGACTGGACGCTTAAAACTGAATCGTTACGTAGTCGGCAGTGTTGCTTTATAAGTCTCCACATACTTATGCGTCAGTATTGAAGTCGAAATACTACGCATCATTATCTGAGTAGAAAATGTTATCAATTTATTCATATTGCATGACTGTCATTAATGTTAAAGTGTGATCAAAAGAGATAATTATGTAAAAAACAAGTGTTTTTATCTTGTTATATAAATGATAATTTATCGTCTTAAGATGACATGTTCATTATACCTTGTAATCTTGTTATTATTGCGATTTTCAACTATTTTTTATATTTCCTCGTTCTTTTCTACGGTAAGTTTAATTTTCACAATGTTTCTTCTTTTTTTACATTTTAACTGTTTATGACAAAAAACAGTTTTGACACGTTGGACAAAAAAGGTTAAAGTTGAATACAATGTTTATTATTACGCATTTAAGAAACGATGAAAACTTATCTGGTATGATAAGATAATGATTTATAATCACATTAATGAAGTGGTATACAAGTTTTTTTTTATATTAATTAATTATGTCCATTATTAAAAGACTAGGAACTTTCACGTTACGCGTTATCTTGAAATAGGAAATTAATAGAAATATATGATATATTAAAAAAAAAAGTCTGAAAAATCGCTGCAACTTATGTGAAATGTTTATGATAAATTTAAAAAATGTAGACATAAAAGTAATAAAAATATGATTTTTAAACAAGCCGTATCATTTAAGAAAAGAAACATGAGAAAAATAGAGATATATATATCTCAAATCAAGTTATTGTTTTTTTCTAACATTGTGTTATTTTATATTAATGTCGTTTTTTCTGAATAATTTTTCTAATTGTTTTAATATTTTAATAATAATATAATTTCATACGATAAACAAATTGCAGCAATAACTTTATTATAGCAAGTAAAAACATAAGGAAAGTGGACTAAAAGATAGTACTTAAACAATAAAACCCTCAATTTTCTCATAAAATAAATTTATTATTTTGGAAAGTGTAAGTAAATAAGTAGCATAAACAAAGCATAAATTCCGCACAATGTGTATAAACATCATTAGTTAATATTAGTTTGATAATACAAGTAACACTTATTCTATTTAGTTTAAAACTATTTAGATTGTTAGAGCTGGATTTAGTCTGACGTTACAGTGTTAGCAACAACTTCTGTTGTTGTTACGCAATAAACGATAAAAACATTTTATCCGCAGAATGATTCTGCAAATAGCTGTTGACAATATTGTTATCGTTACTAAGTTGTTACGTAACAGTTTTCTGATGCAATGTTGCACGCACGAAACGACAATCTTAGTACTAGTTACAGACTTAATCTACTTGGTTTAAACGCTTTATAAAGCAGCTTTAAAAAGCGTGAGTGTTTTATCGCGGCTCAATGATAAGATGTACACCGCCTTTGGGCGAAAGTATAAAAGGCGCTTCATCGATGATAAGTGGCACAGGAGTTCGAGGATGAAGTTTAATCTTGAACTTCGATAAGATATTGAAAATGCCAACTTTTGTCTGCATATAGCCAAATCGTGTACCTAAAAATTTACAAAATAACAGTCTTTTTTATATTTTTTATATTCTCAAATCATGTTGTTTTGAAAGAATGTGTACATGTGTTATACATGTACAATTTCATAAGCCCGAATTTTACAAGGAAATTAAAGAAATACTTTTGAAAAAGTTTTTAATTATAAAAAACATTTTTAAAAAGTTTTTTAGTATTTTTATTAGGCCTTACCGATACAAACTCGAGGCCCTTCTCCAAATGGTAAGTAAGCGTACGGATGCCTAGCTGCTATCTCATCCGCGCTGAATCGCTCGGGATCAAACTTATCTGGGTCCGGATATATGGCCGGATCTCTCTGTATTCCGAGCACCGGTATAGTAATTGAAGTTCCTTCCGGTATGTGAATATTCGTTGTCGGAAGGTCTGTAGCTTTGGTACAGATGCGATTCAGAATTGGCACAGGTGGATATTTTCTCAGAGTTTCTGCACAAAGTGATATAATATCTGTAGCTTCTCAAACACGTTTATTCAAATAAACAAACGAGTGTTTTTACAAAAAAAAAAAAAAAAAAAAAAAAATTACCAGTTACTACTTTATGCAGATAGGTCATATCGTTGACAGAATTGTAAGTCACTTCGCCGTCTTTTTTTAGCACTTCATCAATTTCTTGACGAAGCTTATTTTGTACGTCCTGATTTACCGCTAATTCGTACAAACAGAACGTCGCCGTAGTTGAAGACGTTTCAAAACCAGCTATGAAGAAGACGAATGCTTGCGCAGCCGCTTCCACCAATGAAATCTTATTCGTAGTTGCTATAAAAAACAAACATATAAATTTTCTACCACTGGCATAATTGTATATTTAGTATTGAGCATGTAAAGTATATTTACAAGAAGCTTCGGCGGTATCTCCCTCGTCAGGCGCGACGTAGCCTTTCTCCATAAGTTGTATAAGTAGATTCATAAAATCATGTCTAACAACATTGTGAGTTTGTCTGTATTGCACATTATTCCGGAACATATTTATAAAAAATTTCGAGGTACCTCGATCAACGAAAGGAATGGCAAAGAAATCGGCAAGTTGAGGTACAAACGCAAAAATTGCATACCAAATAGGATTGTACTCGAAGATTTTTCTTCCCCAAAATCGAAATTCATTGTCCTGGTTTTCCATGCAGTTTGATTTGATTCCGAAAGCAGTTGACATAATTATGTCAGTTGTATATCTATTCCATAAAATGTATGATTTTACAAATTTATATTGGCTATACTAAAGAAATATTTTAATATGTATTGTATATATTTTTTATATAAAACTTTTGTAGTTTTTCATATAAATAGTTAAAAGTGTTTCAAAAACCGTTTTTTTTCTTCGCAGCGTTTTACAAATCATTAACCAATAATTCAATCTTCTATTTTTAAAAATTACATACCCTGCAAATATTTCTTTTATTTCGATGCATGAGTTTGTTTTGGCCACTTTTTCTAAAGATGTCGCGAATTCCTCGCCGCATTCTTTCAGGATTCCAAACATTTGCTTGAGTTTTCCCGAAGTGAATGTAGGTGTCAATTTGACTCGCAAATGTCTCCATTTTTTTCCTGGCAATAAAAACAAGTGACCGGATAGCGGATCCGTTTTCTCATTACAGTACCAGCCGCGATCGTGGAAATTGCCAAATTCTTTTGTCAGCACTATTCGAACAAGATCGAGATCGGCAATCACAAGGTTCGGCTTGAAAAATGTATACATTCCGAAAGCTCGATGGTCCTTATATTTTAAATAAGCATCGCCGAACAGTTCGCCTGTTGATAAATCTTACAATTAAATTGTACAAAGTCATACACTCTTTTAAAATATATTTGAAAATTTACATAGATATCGAGAAATAATAAAAATTACTACATCAAGAAAATTGTGTACTTGGGCTGAATATATATTTGCAACGTATAAAATAATTAATCTAATTTGACGAAATATTCTTTCATTTACTATGTTGTTGCAACTCTTATAGTTTTTCACTTAACACATTAAACATTATAATTCTATATTTATACATATATATCACAGGCTTTTAGAAATTAGAACACAAATAGATAATTTTGAAATAATTATTGACTGAAAACTATAAAAATACGGTTTGGTGACAATACAAAATTGGTTTTTGATGTGTACTTAATATCTACTCAATAACAAATTTTCCATGTATGAAATTGTATGGACATATTCGGCATATAAATGTGCATAATTAGATATAATAATTTTATTTGTGTATAAGTATGTGTGATTATGTAATATGTGATTATATAATCAAAAATGTTTTTGAAATATAGTAAAAATATAGTTTTATATAATTTTTTTCTATCTAACATGATACTAATAGAGTTATTTTGTAATTTGATATGGAATATCTCTGAAGCCATTCTCTTAAAAAAAGAAAGTAATTCTCCGTGTATAAAATTGTATGAATATATTTGGCATATAAATTTGCAAAATTAGATATAATAATTGTAATTTGTGTATAAGTATATATAAAAAATTGTTTATATATATACCGGGTGTATTTGTCGCATATATAAGAAACGTGACTTTAAATTCGCAAATAAAGTGTATGAAAGTTTCACTTTTTTGGCAAATAAAAACTCTCATTAATTTATATACAAAAACAATTTTTTTTATAAAAAGATACTTGCCCATTGATATTTTTCGGGTTACTAAAGAAGTCATATTGCCAGTTGGTACAACGGGTTCGATGTAAAATACACCTTTCTTGCGCCAGAAATTGAACACCACAAACTTGTAATAAATATATACCGAACATAGAGCAACGACAAGAGCAGTTATTAATCCTATAATTAACATTTTTTGCTCTTTTTTTTGTACTGACGGTTGAAACAGAATAAAAATATATCCAAATTAGTTATTCTTGGCGTTATATGTTTGCCGAAAAAAATAAGCGTTACAAAAATAATTTTGTCACTCAAATCGAACAAGCTGGTACCTCTTTTGTTCGAGGAATATCAAGGAATGAACGCATCAAACTGAAGCAGTATGATATCAAGAAAGATGTTTTATACTCTCTCTCTGAAATATTACCCAAGTCGTAAAACTTGAGTACTAACATTCCGTGTACATAGTTCATAACATATTATAATTTATCTGGTCAACAGAATTAAGTAGAAAAAAATCAAGAATTTTGTTATGTAAGTAATATATAGTCGTAAAATGTCATTAGTTACTTTGTCATTTTCTTATTAATATGCAGTCTTTAGATTTCCTTTTTTCCTCCTTTTTTTTTACGGTAAGTTCGATAATTTTTCACGCAGGTTCTTTATTTTACTCCAAATTTCAAACGTTTATTCAAACGAAGAACGATTTTAACACTTGGGATAGGAAAACGTTTGAAGCTTGGAGAAAAAAATGAAGAACCTGCGTGGGATTGTCGAGTTTGCCGTAAAAGGAAACGAGGAAAAAAGGAAATCTAAAGACTGCATATTAATAAGAAAATGACAAAGTAACTAATGACATATCATTGTGTACGACTACATATTACTTACATAACAGAAAAACTTGTTTCTCTTCTACTTAATTCTGTTGAAGATACCGATGATAAATGAGTAGAATATTTTGCATTAAAAAAGAGAAAAAATATCTCGCTATCTGGTGCAAGATAATCTATAAGTGTACCGTCAGCATTAACCAAACAGAACCGTCTTATATAAAGTGCATTCGTTTTGAACGCTTACGCGCTTTGAGCGTCAGTCTTAATTTTTTTTTGAACATAGAACAAAGATAAACTGACGGTTACAGCGCTTAAGCGCTCAAAACAACACGCACCTTATAAAAGGAACTTGTATAAAATTTTCACCATAAAAATAATAATATAGTCATAAAATAAATAAATAAAATTCTAAATTTTTATTCAATAAAATATTTCTGAATGAAAGGGAAGGAAATAGAGATGTATCTATAACATTTGAGGGACTTATTAAATATCGGTTTTTATTATAATAGCGTGTCTTCTGAACGAATATATTCTCCAAGATCTGCTTGATGGAAACAAACTATTGCTGTGGGATTTGCATGTTTACAATCGACTGTACTTTTTGCGGCAACACCAAATCCCTGAAAAATAAAAAAAATCAAGTTTTAGTGTTGGCGTTTATTAATTGCCTCACATTGCAGTAATATGCGAGCAAAGAAAAAAAAACACACAATGGTGCGTACCAGTGGTAAATCATTCATGGAAAACACAACAACTCCTTGATGCTGAGAAGTACCTTCCGTTATTCGACCAAGACCCGACTTCAAAATGTGATTTCCATATAGAAACTGTTGCTCTGCCGATGGCTTCACCCAGATTTTGTGCTGAAACATAATAAATTTGTTGTTATTGTTGTGTTTTCTTGTATCTTTTTTTTAGTTAATAAATGTTAATCAAGTACTTACTTGCGCATAAGGCGCCAAATAATGCAATGCGGTGATATGTAGCTTAAATTTTCCTGATTTTGTGAATTTTCCGAAGCAAGTACCTATACTCAACAGATGATCAGGTGCCACGGTACTTCCAAGGGATAGGATTTTTTGTGACACATAATACACCCTGTCTTTTTGCTCCCGAAAAAAATATGTATCATCCGGTCGATCAATCAAGTTCTTCACATTGGCACCAATACTATAGTTAAACAATATTTAAAATTTATATTAAAAACACAAATTCAAGTATTATTAGCAAACTGACTTTGCGTCTGTTTGCGTGTAAATAAAATATATGCAAACAGTTTCTTACTATTTCGTTAATTTCTCAAACACAAGTTTTGTTCTCTCTTCCGATAGTTGCTTCATTATTGCATCAAAAATTAACGGCAGAGAGAAGAGACTTCTCTCTGTCAGAAGCCTGTATTACGGATTGCGGAGCTATTTGGTTGCGATTGAGGTTGAGGTTATGTTTGACAATCGCACACGTGCGTTCAGAGTTTACGTTCCAAGATCCTACTTTGGAAACCAACAACTATAGTACACGCGACGTGAAATATAGTGATTTATTAACCAAGGTATAGAATCTTAGAACATATCCAGCGGAACAAGCTGCTTCGCAGCAATCAAACGTGATTGGCTGTTACTTTCAGAATTAACAAATCAACGACTATTGTTGACAAGACGATTCAGGTTCCGCTGAAAACGCGACTAATGGGCAAGCTGCTTCGATTGACCTGATTGGTCAATTTAATCGCAACACGGGCTTTTCGTGTCGCGTTCATGAGCGTCGCGATGTCCACGTCTTGCGTACACAAAAACGAATCAACATGGCGTACGGACCAATCTGAATCGATCTACCGAGACACTTCGCACCAATACCAATAAAAACGAATCAATGAACTGAATAATAATGATAGTCTGATTACAAAGCGTTTGTCGCTTACAATTGGAGTATAATTTAGATTAACTCAAGTTCCAGAAGAATAGCCCCATCACACTCAGACGAATTGTTGCACGCGCGTGCTACGTCATATCTACGCAATAAATTTAAAATTTTTACAAATGAGATTTTTTCAATTTCACACGTAAAAAGTTTCACCTAGTACGCGCGACGAGGAAATCAAGTTTCGTCATCTGAGGAATTTGTATTTGCTTGATGCCATGTTTACTTATATAGGTGTGACGAGTTGTACATGCTGATAGTGAATGTAAATAAAAAGCATATATATATATATATATACAACTTACACAGCAGCGCATATATACAACTTTGTGTTTGCGTTCCGTTCGAGTTACATCGCTTAGTTACATCACATTACGCGACATGACTGGGCGTGTGGCTGTGGTAAGAAAACCTTGGGAAAAAAACAGAATCTTTGCTGTCTCATCTTCCTCATTTTAATTATTGTGTTTTGCAAACAATTCGATTAATAAAATTGTCATGTTCTTTTTGGTCTCGTCTTATTTTTTATCACTCGATATGTATAATTTTCAGTGTAATTTTTCTTAACAATCAGGTAACAGGTGGGAACAAAGGTATCGGCTTTGCCATCGTCAAGGCGCTCTGCCAAAAATTTGACGGCAATGTCTATCTGACGGCTCGCGATGTCAATCGCGGATTGAACGCCGTAAGCGAGTTGGAGAAACAAGGCCTGAAACCGAAATTTCACCAGCTGGATGTCACCGACGACGAGAGTATCACGAAATTCCGGGATTACTTGAAAAGCACATATGGCGGCCTCGACGTCCTGATCAACAACGCTGCCATAGCATTTAAAGTAATATTTTAAAACTAGAATCTAAATTCTTTAAAATTGAAAACCATGATGTGAAGAAATTTTTTATTGATTATTCCAGGAAATAATTTAGTCAATATTATCTTTGTCTTGTAAAAAATATTAACTTTTATACTTGTGTATTTGTTGGAGACAATTTGTTTTGCAGAAACTTGTTAAGAAAACATACCATTTGTTTAGTTAAGATAAAATATTGCGATAAGTTTATATATATATTTTTTTTTTTAGACAAATGCTACGGAACCTTTCGGAGTCCAAGCTGAGGAAACGCTGAGAGTAAATTATTTCAGCTTGCGTAAAGTGTGTGATGCGCTGTATCCATTACTCAAGCCGCATGCCCGAGTGGTTCATGTTTCCAGCAGCGCTGGACGTCTTTGCAATATCTCCGGCGCAGCGTTGAAAAAGAAATTATCAGATCCGAACCTAACCGAATCGGAATTGGACAAAATTATGCAAGATTTTGTTAAGTAAGTCGTGCGATTCCAAGCACCACATTGACTTGAAGAAATATGTTACTATCTGTTCCCTTCATGTATTCATTTCTAGCGCTGCAAAATCTAACACCCATTTGCAAGCTGGCTGGTCAAATTCAACATACGTGGCCAGTAAAATCGGAGTGTCCGCTCTAGCTGGTATTCATCAATCCAAATTTAATACGGATCCTCGAGAAGACATTGCGGTGAATGCGGTTCATCCTGGTTACGTGGATACCGATATGACTAGCCACAAGGGAGACTTGAAGCCGGATCAAGGAGCCGTGGGACCTGTTTACTGTGCCTTGTTGCCGGAAAATACAGAAATAAAAGGAAAATACATCTGGTACGACGCAACACTGTCAGAATGGAAGTAACAAGTTTAATGTGAATGAAAAAAATCTGATTTATATTAGACATTATATATATATATATATATATATATTATGAGAAATAATACAAATAAATTTCAATTATATGTACACTTTTTTCACTGTAACCAAAAGCATGCAAGAGAAGGCATTAATAAAAAAAAAAAACCTAACAAACCTGCTATTTGTTATTTATGGAAACTTGCTTTGGAATATCAAAAATACAGTTTTTATTACTGACGTCTTTTAGAAACCTAGTGCAATATATATTATTTTTTGAATCGATTCCAAATTGTACAAAAAATAATAAGAGACACATTAACATTAATATACTTATAAACTATACTAGAAACTATCTCGTTTGAGCGTTCATTGCTTCTCTGCGTGCCGCTTCGGTCAACAAGTGGATATCTACTTCATCTACCGGCAGCTGTACATATCGCACCACGGATCCACGAATGAAGCAATTTTTTACTGACAACTGTAAGCGTAACACGTGAAACAATTGATTCAATCGTGTACAAGAGTGTATAAGATTTTGAAATACATTGTATCTCATAAATACAACTTACCATATGAGGATATTTTTCTGAGTCCGTTACGCTGATATCCGCTAGTTTGATATTTAAGTACTGGTCGACAGAATACAACGTGCCGCAAATGCTGAAACAAAACAAACTACGTGAGCACAATAGTGTTCTTCGCTTCGAGTTATCGCTTGTAATAAATCTGCAACATCCAACCTGAGATCGTTTTTCAACTCGACGACCACGTCTTTTCCGATCAACGATTTGAAGAAGGAATAGAACAACTAAAATAAAAAACAAAACTGCTTAGTTATTTGCGCAACTTTGTAATATTCTTACACAAATTCTGTTTTCCTATGTGTTACAAACTTACCATGGTTAATTTTTAGAAATCACTGCGATACAGCAATGTGGCAACAATATATTGCAGCAATATGTAACATCAATTACACAATGCTGTCGGATATTTAATTAATTCGACGAAACGAACTGTTTGCGAACGGGTTTGCAAACGAATCTCAGCGGCAAAAATATCGCACACAATCTAACCTCCTCTGTCGCAATTTCGACCTAAGGGTTTGCGTTCAAGAGAAACCGGTCCGAGTACAAACGGTTTGTTTAGTTCCCGCGAAATTGACCAATCGCAATTGTCAAATCGTTCAACGCGATTGCGTTTTTCGAGTTCTCATCAACTTTTTCTCAGACGGGAGACAAAATTGATTGACCAATCGCGATTCGAACGACTTGGCCGATCGACCAATGGTCGATTTTCTCTCGGCTCGAAAAGATCTCTCTCTCTCTCTCTCTCTCTAGCATCTTAAATAAAAGTTCGGCCTAAATGTTGTTTACAAAAAATCGGATATGTCGAGGGAAAACGTGAGAAAAATGTCACGCAAATTGAAACACCCAATGCCAAGGCAAGGTTGTCGAATAACTACTGCAATAAAAAAAAAAAACTAAAATACACGTGTACCGTAAATGTGTGCGCGCATTTGTGATCTCCGTGCGCGGAAACCATAAACTTGCGGGACTTTGGACCGAACTTTTGTCCCACTCTTCCGTTCTCTGTCAACGAGATTGCGTGTGGAAACGGGGTATCGTGTAGTTTTTTTTGCATCTGTCATTTCATTGACAAAGTCATTCGGGTCGCCTGAAAAAAAAAAAAAAAAAAAGACAATCCGACAACGATGTTCTCTACGTGCCTCAGAACAACTTTGCGGACCTCCACCAACAAGGTAATATTTGAAGGGATTTTGAATTTTCGTGCCTCAATTGTTTCGCGTTCGATTAGTCACGTCACTCAACCTCGGCTTGTGAAGTTTAAAAATCGCTTGTATCCAGCTGATATCTTGTCTTCCGATTTCAATGTTTGCAAGAACTCTGCAAAATACTTCGCACACCTATTTTTGCACACGTTAAATCCTGAACCCGCACATCTCAGCATCATCTTCGAAGGAAAGGATCCTGTGCCTTTTTTTGGATCTCGCGTGAATTTTTTTTGTTTAAAACACGTCAATATATTACCGTCGTACTATTTTGTTTCAACACGCGTGTGTAACAAAATGCGTAAACAAAAACATATTTGTGCAAAATTTGTTACATAAATATTCTCTTTTCATTTTCAGTTTGGCTCGTTAGCGCGTTACGAGTCCACTTTGGTGATTGCCGAACATAACAATGAGAATTTATTACCGATCACATGCAACACGTTGACAGCTGCCAGGAAGATCGGTGGCGATGTGACGGTATTGGTGGCGGGAACAAAATGCGAGACGGCCGCGAAGAGCGCTTGCAAAGCCAAAGGCATATCTAAGGTTCTTATGGCGGACAGCGACGTGTTCAAGGGATTCACCGCGGAATCGCTTACGCCGCTCGTGATCAAACTGTGCAATGATCACAAATTCACACACGTGTTGGCCGGCGCGAGCGCGTTTGGCAAAGCTTTGCTGCCTAGAGTTAGTATTCATCTCTTAAACTGTAACTGTTTACTTTGTAGCTCGTAAAATCTCATTCAACTCTTTTCGTCAAGATTGCAGCTAAATTAGATGTGTCTCCGGTGAGCGATATTATCGACATAAAGGCGCCGGATACCTTCGTGCGCACCATATACGCTGGCAATGCTATTCTGACTCTCAAGTCTGTGGACAAGGTGAAGGTGGTGACCGTGAGAGGCACTTCTTTCGAGTCGCTGCCTCTGGAAGGCGGTGACGCCAAATGCGAGACCGTCGCCGCTGTTGACGTACCGAATCAAGTTCAATTCGTCAAGCAAGAACTCAGCAAATCGGACAGACCCGAACTAACGTCCGCCAAGGTCGTGATATCCGGCGGGCGTGGAATGAAGTCGGGCGAAAACTTCGAATTGCTTTACAAACTCGCGGACAAGCTGAACGCGGCGGTTGGCGCGTCCCGCGCCGCGGTTGACGCGGGCTTCGTGCCGAATGATTTGCAAGTTGGACAGACCGGAAAGATCGTCGCACCTGTGAGTAAAACCTGTGCGGAATTTTGGAGATGATTGATCTTGTCTCGCGATCTTGTCTGTTTACAAATCTTGAAACGAACGTTTTCGCAGAATCTGTATATAGCGGTCGGTATCTCGGGCGCGATTCAACATCTGGCCGGGATGAAGGACTCGAAGACAATTGTGGCAATCAACAAGGACCCGGAAGCTCCGATCTTTCAAGTGGCCGATCACGGATTGGTCGCGGATTTGTTCAAGGCTGTGCCAGAGCTCACAGATAAATTGTAAAAAATTTAATATAATCAAATTTAAATAGTATTTTTGCATCTTAAGATTTGTATTTTATATATAAATAGTTAATTTCGCGTTGTATCCATGCCAATACTACGTAATATAAAAAAAAAAAACTGTACATATATAATGTGATAGAAAAGAATTGTGCAATTAAAATCTTTTTATAAGATTCTATAAAAAAAATCCTTGTATTTGTTTCTTGTCTGCACTTTTCTTTGTGTATTATTGTTTGTTTATTATTAATCTTTATTTCTTTATCCACTTCCGAAGTGTTCTATGGACCTCCGTAAACGATTAAACATTAGCCGTCACGCGAGATATACAGGGTGTCCCAGAATTGCCGTACAATCTCTCGTAGGCAGGTAGAAGAAGTAAAGCTGAGTCGAAAAGTCCTGAACCATTTTTTTCTATTATTTATAATAAAGGAGTAATTATTGAGCAAATCGTGTGCTTGGCTAAAGGTCTACGCTGATTGGCCTGATTTACTCAATAATTACTCCTGTATTATAAATAATAGAAAAAAATGGTTCAGGACTTTTCGACTCAGTTTTACTTCTTCTACCTGCCTACGAGCGATTGTACGGCAATTCTGGGACACCTTGTATATATATAGATATACACGCGTGTGTAGAGGTTAGGTTGATTTCTGATGGTCCAGTGGTGTGAAGAATTCGTTTTTCCAAGCGCCGATATAAAAACGGTTGATTTGATTTGATTTTTGGTTGGACATGTTCTCGTAACTGTTCGTAACCGCAATTTTCTCGTGCGGAAATATTTTATTTGCGGCCGACAATCACGCGTGCGGTAAATATCACAAATTGAATTGAGTGTTGTAGGTTATGTGTTTCATAAACACATTTTTTTTCTTTCTAATATTTTCCACAAATTTTATTGATTCAGAACTGAATTCTCACTGATAGAAGAATCTGAAAAATTTGCGTTGTAATACAAATATTCAGAATGACATTTACACGTTTGTTTACAGAAAATGCAAGCCATTCGTCAGTGTGTGAGAAATGCAGCGTTGTACAGCAGATTTGTTGTAAACAAATCGGATGTATCAAATGTGGCAAAGACGTTAAATCTCATACCAACATGTAGCTTCCATCTTTCGTCGATATGCGAAAAGCATTATCCAGATTTCACAACTCCCACAAAGTTTCTCAAGTATAATGAAACCATTTTTCCACCTCAAAAACCTGGCGAGGAAAGAAGGCCTGCCGTAAGTACACATTGAAGTTAATTAATTAATTAATTAAACTTCAGGCCTGCTGTAAGAGTACACATTGAAGTGTAATTAATTAATTAATCAACTTCTCAAAAATGACACACTCTTGTATTTGTTTTTCAGTACGTATGTCATATGAAGGCCAACATAAAGTATAGCCCAAAAAAGATGTGGTATATCGCGTATTACATACGAGGAATGTCTGTGGACGAAGCTATAAAAGCAGTGAGTTTTATGAGAAGAAAAGGTGGTGAGATTGTCAAAGAGGTTCTATTAGAAGCTCAAAAACTGGCTGTAGAAGAACACAATGTCGAGTTCAAGAGTAATTTGTGGGTTGGTGAGTGTTACGTTCACAAAAATCTGTATACAATCAGTAAGTACGTTCTACAAGTATATATATATATATATATTTTTTTTTTTAATAGCTGAATCATTCGCCACGAAAGGTATGGTAATAAAAGGTCTGAGACGTCACGCTAGAGGTCGCGGAACGGTTCATCGGTACAGGTATTGTCATTATTTTGTACGTTTGGAGGAAGGACAACCACCCAAGAATTATCATCTGAGAACTTCCAAGACCGGCGAGGAATTATTGAACAACTGGTTGCAGAATATGCACATGCGCAAAGTAGTTAATTCCTTGTAACATGTAAAAAAATTGAGATAAGTAAAATTACATCGAACGTATATTTATTTACATTGAAGAAAACAAATCACATCTGTCCCCTGTCTCAACAGTTTTTAATTTTGTTCTCTGATTTGAAGTTTAACACAAACATCTTGACACGTGTGTGAGAAATAAAAAAAAAATACACCATTACTTTCCATGGTTTTGATCTTTTCTGTGATTCCTACGCGATGTATCAAATCCATAAGGTATAGATGTGACGCCAATGCAAAGTTCGGTATAATTTAGAGCTTCAACTTGGTTCTCCTCCAGTGACGCCTCTTTGCGTTGTACCTGAGAAAATAAAAAAACATGAAGCAACAAGAAACAATATCTAAATAACAAATTCTATTAATTCTCATTAATTTGTCAAACTAGACTCTTCGCCAAGTATATTTCGAACAACATTTTTTTATTAAAATAATATTTTAAGGCTCGTGAAAATTCTACTAAGAATATAAGGCCAATTCGAGCCGTTCACAAGATGTTGAGCGGAAACTTGTACGTGTATATATATACATATATATGTATACACCTATATAACAAGTTCACTTGTAAATTTTACAAGTGAGTTTTTTGAATTGAAAAGGGACAACTTTAACTTGTTATAGGTGTATACATATATATGTATACATATACACGTACAAGTTTCCGCTCAACATCTTGTGAACGGCTCGAATTGGCCTTGTATTCTCAGTAGATTTTTTTCATTGTTTTAACACATACTCGACACGCATAACCTTACGCCAAAACACAAGAAAACAAAACAACTTATACATCGTGAATTATTTAAACAACGTTGAACAATTATTTACCGGATGGTGTTGCCAGTCCGCATTCTCACCCACTGTGGAATCGGTCTGTTTTGCTTCAGCTTTTTGGCGAGCTTTCGCTTGATGCGGAATGTCTTGTGCGCCGACTGAAACACACACGTGACAAAATCAGAAACCGTGGATCGTATTTTCAAACATTCTCGCGTTCAGGCTTGCGGGATTAAAACTAAATAAACGGATGCGATCGAGACGAACGCAGAACTCACCATCGTTTCTCTCCGGCAGAAGCGAACGAAAAACGTGCGTGCGGAGCGTTCGGCTAGGATAAAATATTGTCTTGTAGACGAACGCACACTCGTTCGCGCGCGCGCGCGCGGACGTTAGGACCTCGTTCGCAAATGACGTTACGTCGCATCGCGGAATTTGACCAATCGCGTTTGTCCGTTCGGTCGCACGACCGAAACGCGATTGGTTCGACTTTCAAAATTTTTCTCGAATCTCAAGCCCGATTTCTAATTTTCCTCATGGACACGAGCCCTTTCATTCTTTTCCCCCGTGATTGTCAATTCTCTGGTCCGACGACCAATCGGCGTTCCCCAGGTGTGCGTGACACTCGCGGGACGCAAATCGCGACGAACGGGTCGCTGAAATATACATTAGGGATTACCAGAACCGAACGACGTTAACTTGGTGCGTTCCGCATCTCTCGCCCGTCGTCTGCACGCCCGAATCAACTCGGTTGTCATGATGTTCGCGAACGTTCGTGACGTAATATAATCGAATTTAGCAGCGTGTTGGTTGAAATCGCGCTTTAGAATTTATTTACCATTTTGCTCTGTCACTGTGTGCGACCCGACTTGCAACACAAATCCGATCCTCCGCACAACGTCCGTTTCTCGTCGAACGAGACCAAAATGGACAGCAACAAGGACGAGGCCGAGAGATGCCTGGAACTCGCGGAACGTTACTTGCGCGAGAGAAAGTACGAGGAGGCCGAAAAGTTCGCCCGCAAGGCGCAAAAACTTTATCCGCTGAAAAAAGTCGAAGGTGGGTCCCAAGTTTCAATTCCCAGTTGTTGGCTGTGTGAGGAGTTGCGAATCGTTCGCGTCGAGAGCGACCGTTTCCCGGTCGTTGTGCGAGAATTCTACGTTCTATTTTCTAATCGCATATGTATATTTAAAAGCGCAGCTAATTTAAGCACGTATATTAAAAGCGCGACTAACGAATTTTTCTCGTTTGTCAGAATCGTGTGTTATCCGTTGTTTTAAAAATTTTTAAACAATCATGTTTGCAGACCTGTTGGCAGAAGTGTCGATACTTTCTAAACAGAATCAAAAATCTGAAACTGCTGAGCCTAGTGTTAGAAAGCGGCAAAGTGTGACTAAAGAGACAACACATTCTCAAAGTAGTTCAGATTATACAAAAGAACAGTTGGAACATGTAAAAAGGTAGATAACTTCACCAAATATACTTTGCTACAATAACATTGAATTAATAACATACATAATTTTAAGTTGTGATGTTGATAGAATGTGACAAGATGATTTTAAAGATACCAAAGAAGTAAAATATAATATTTCCAAGATTAATTATATTTTGTTATATAATTAATTTACATTAATTTGTATTTATATTTAATATATTTATATTTTTAATATATTTATATTTAATAATTAATTTATATTTAATTATATTTAATTATATAATTAACTTACTTATGTTAAGTATATTTTATTCGTAATATTTTATTTGTTTTTTTTATTTATTTTTAATGAGAGAAATAAATGTTTCAGGATAAAGAAATGCAAAGATTATTATGAAATCTTAGGTGTGAGTAAAGATGCTACAGATAGCGACATTAAAAAAGCGTATAAAAAATTAGCGCTACAGTTGCATCCTGACAAAAATAAAGCGCCGGGTGCGGCCGAGGCTTTCAAAGGTAAGACAGTTTAGAAAAAATTTAGATATATGTAGCGATTGTACGTCTTTGATATTTTAAATCTTTGAAATTTGTCTATTGTTTTGCAGCTATTGGCAACGCAGTTGCAATTCTGACCGATGCGGAAAAACGAAAACAATATGATATGTTTGGTCCTGAGGAAGAACGAATGCAGAATGCGCACAATCGCCAGGGCCACACGCATTACAATTACACTCGCGGTTTCGAAGCTGATATTACGGCTGAAGAATTATTCAACATGTTCTTCGGCGTTGGTTTTCCACAACAAGAGTTTTACATGCGTCGCTCAGGCGGAAGATGGATGAGGCAACAGGATGCGCAATCTCAGCATGCTCATTCTCAGGTAGAGCAGAATTGACATTCTCTCGTTCGGCGAGAAAAATTTTGAAATCTCATTTACTTTTAAAAAAAAACTGTACAAATAAATTTTTGTTTATTCTACCTTCAATTATACAAATGTGATTTGATAATGTATTTTAGCAAGCAAATGGATACACCACGTTTCTTCAGATGTTACCAGTTCTGTTACTAATATCGTTAACCATGATGAGTAGTTTTTTCATATCTGATCCGGTGTACAGCTTGCATTCAAATTCGTAAGTAATAATTTAATTAATTGAAGCTGAGGTATATGGATCAAGCGCGAAAGATTTTTTGTAAACACCGACGCGAGTTTCTTCACTTTTTTTGCAGAAAATATTCCGTGGCCAGAACAACTCAAGTCTTGAAAATACCGTACTACGTTAAGGAAAACTTTCATAGCGAATATCAGGGCAGCTTGCGTAGGCTAGAAATTTCAATTGAGGAAGAGTATGTGAATAGCTTGAAACAAACTTGCGCAAGAGAAAAGAATTACAGTATGTATAAAACTACTTCTCCATTTTTTTTATTTTACGATTTTAGTCAATATTACAAATAATTTACCATAGAGCTCTCTTTTTTTTGTGAACGTTTTTCTTCATGTTTATGTATTTTTTTTTTGTTTTTTTTTTTTTTTTTACAGGAGACAGCATGATGTGGAAAGCACGTAATTTCGGAGATCAAGATTTGTTTTTAAAAGCTAAAAACTTAGAAACTCCCTCATGTAGGAGACTACAAGAACTGCAAGCCTGATAGGTAAACCACACAAATAGGAATTTGGTTGTAGATAAATATGCGTATACCTTATATTTTTCGGAGTCCACGGAAAATATGTATATTTGAATTGTTTTTCTGAGTTTTTTTTTTTTTTTTTTTGGTCATATTAGCTATTCCGTGTATTGTAAAATTGCCTGTTGCCCAATCGGTTGCCACATAGAACAAACAAAGATCGAGTTTTATTATAAGATTATTTTAGTAAAAATGATACGTGTATAAAAGAAATTCTCTTTTCTCTGCTTTTATATTATTCTCAAAAAACACTTGTGCAATATTTATATCATTATATGAATGTTTGATTCACATTCACATTTTCAAGAGGAAAATTTGTATCGCAGCACACACTGAAGTTTATTATTATTAAAAAAAACAGACGTTTTTTTTGAACATTCAGTTTATTTGTGTGACAAAACAAACAAGATGAAAGATTTCACCGTCTTTTGGTATGTGTGGTTTTGGAATGCGTTTGACATTGTAAAATTGTGTGTTATGTGTGAGATATTTAACGAGAAGAAAAAATATTAAATTAGACGAGATTATATATATAAATATATATATATATATACATATAATATATACATATAATATGCACATATATATATATATATATACATATATATATGTGTATGTATATATGTATATCTAAACAAATTGTAGGAAACAAATACCAATAAAGGCGGCTAATGCGAGCGGAAGGACTGTCGGTTCCCAATGATGTCAACAATGATCTATCGCTCGCTCATTGGACATAGATATATGAAAGGTTTTACGCTGTGGTAGTGTTTTTTCGTCTCTTTTGATTATTTATTCGATTTTCCTTAAAACATCTGGACTGTTGTGATAATTAAGGAGTTGTTCGCGTTGGGACGTTTATTCTATGTAAATCTTTTTTATCAGACTCCAATCACAATTGTTTAACATTTGAAATGTATATAAAACTTTATATATACATACATCTATTTATTACAGCAGGCAACAATATTTCATGTTTCTTGTACACACCCCGCAAAGTGTTGTTCAAGAACGAAGTGATGAATTTGCAGTTAGACGGTTGTGTATATTTTGTAAATAATTATTCTGATTGTTTTTGTAAAAATTATTCCGGTCTTTTTCTTCAATGTGATCAAATGATATTAAATGTTTTCTCTGACGAAAATGGATCGTTTAGAATACAAATCGCGACAAAAGAAAAATCGATTCGTTATGTGTATGTTGAGAGACCGCTTGTATGTTCATGACGTGGACCACATTCGTATGTTGTCAGTGAGTTTGTCCTCGTACCTCCTGTAAAAACAAAAAAACAAAAAAAAAGAAAGAAAGAAAAAGAAAAAGATCGAATTTTTTTATCACGCCGATCGATCGGACTATTCGGTTTGATTTTCGTCCCGCCTCGCACTTAGAGCGCGCGCCAATTTCCTTACTCGCGTAGCTCTAATCGACGTCTACCTACTCTACCTACCTACTGTGAACGAAAGTAAGAATCCGCGGTTCTCGTGTACATACCTCTATGTCGAGGAACGCTCTCGTGTTATATAAATTAAATTAGTGTATACATACCTATAAACATAGCGATTATCGTTGTTATTGTAATAGCGAGATTTGCACATACGTATTTATGTTACATGTTTACAAACGTTTGTTGTTTCTAGTTTATTGTTTCGAAAATGTAATACTTATATATATATATATATATACATAAATATATATATATATATGTGTGTGATATCACGTGAGAAAAATATACACGTAATGTATATAACATGTTTGATTACCTATTGATATTGTACAAAAATCGCACTTTTCGCAATTTGTTAATTTTCACGCATACGCGCACGCACGCGTACCCGTATCTGTGTATGTTAAATGAAACGTGACCGGTGACAGTTACCTGAATTGTGAAATGAGCGAATTATCACGCACCAAACACGCAAATGCGAGCGACATCGAATGTTCGTACGTCGCAGCAGCGCGCTTTGAGATCCTCGGGTTTTTTTTTTTTTTTTTTTTATCGATTTCTCAAAACTCATCTGTCTAGAATTTTGAATGACTCGCAACGCGAGCGCCTATGATTCACCGTTTCACCTGAAATTCGTGCAAAAAAATCTCTTGTTTATAATTATTAATAATTTATTTGTTACTCCTCAGCCTTCGGCCAAGAAGGGAACTTGGTTTACATTTCTTTACTTTTTACCCTCGGACCGTGTGCGTGCAACTTAACTTTAAAAAAAAAAAATCTTAATGAGATGATAAAAGGGCAATTGGAACCAAATGCAAGGTGGAATGTAATAAACTATGATATATATCAATATTCCAAACGTTTCGGCTATATATATTTAAGCCATCTTCAGTGGAATCTTAATGAAGTATTAAACAATCCATTAATTATAACGACATCACAGTTATTGACACGGGATTCGTTTGTTTAAAAAAAAATCTTGTTTATATTGTTTTAAATATTTTTTCCCATGTGGAGTCGAGTCATATTTTCTCACGCCAGCATTTTTGTTGTCAACATTCGCATTTCAATTTATATACATATTCGATATTTACATATGAATATATGTTTATATATGTGTTTATATTTATATCAATTATTGATCAAGCTAGGATGGAAATGTTTGCTGATATTTTCGTTACTCAAAAAATCATCCGAGCGGCTGGCGAGGGCGAAATGAAAATTGCAAAAGGTGAGCAAAAATTTGAAATCGCAGTTACAATACGTTCTGTTTGAATTCGTTCTCGCAACATTTATTTAAAAATCGCTTCCCGGGTAAATGCTCGTGTTCTTATATCGCGCATGTGCAATTTGATGTTAACAACCGATGGAAAGGTGTCGACCTTGATTATTGTGGAAGTCAGAGGTACCGACTGAGAAGTTGCGTTACTGTTGTGTTCAACGTGTTCCTCTCTGTAGTCCAGGTGTTAATGACGCGATTCAATTACAATCCGGGAAGTATGTCGCCGGTGCGAGAAATTTTGCGCGATTCCAGTGGCGATTCTGGTACGTGATATCAACGAGGTTGCGAATCTCCATTTCTGTTTATTACAGTAAAGTCAGTTTTTTTTTTACGAGACGTTAATATCGCAATAGAGCGAGAAACTTGCTCTATAGTTTCGTGCGAGGTTATGTTGCATAATTCCTACGGGAGCAATGCTTCTCTGTGTTTGACGGGGAGTACAATCTCAATTCTCTCTCTGTTTTCCAGGATCAGAGTCCGATGGTGCTTCTCTATCCTCCAGATCAAGTCGCAGCGGTAGCCGGGAGTCGAGCAACGTCAGAAGTCAACAACACGAAGTTTACAGCGCACCGGCCTCACCGGATTCCGACGCGGCGGCGGTTTCGCCAAATCATAGTGCGTTTCCATCACGAATTCCAGCTTCGCCGGTTGAACCCCATCCACCGGTACTTCGGCTTAGCGCGCCAGCTTCACCAGACGGATCAAATGCCAGCGGCAGCCACGCTTCTAGATCTACCAGTCACACAGAATTGAATAAGTTGGACGGTAGTCACAAATCGGGAAGTCCGTCACCGGCCAGATCAGGTTCGAGACGTTCGAGCGCCGGTTCGGTTCGCAGTGAAAAATCTGGCTCGCCGAGATCCAGAAGCGGAAGTGCAAGTTCAGCGGAATCTCAGAAATCTCCTAGATCACGTTCACAATCCCCAAATGGAAGTGTACGTTCTTCCAGTCCAAAATCACCTGGTAGTTCAAGATCTGCACATTCCGAACGTAGATCCGCGGAGAGGGAATCAAAGACTCCGGCTTCTCCCGCATCAAATGCTTCTAGTTACGAGTCTAGAAAAAGTCGTAGATCCAGAAGCGCTTCTTCCCACAGAAGTAACAAGTCGGGTTCTGCAAGTCCGGCGGAAAGAAAGCGAACGGAAAGTGTTGATTCAGAAAAATCCAACAACAAGAGATCCAAATCTAAGAGTCCTGAAAATGACAAGAGTGACAACGAATCAAACAAATCTACCAAAGAAGCAGGTTTGTATTATTTTGTTTGTCTTTTTTTTTTTTTTTAATGACACGTGCAGAATATTAATTTTTCTTTACCCTAGAAATATACAATAAAAAACTTTTTATTTGTATCGTTCAATATTGCGATTTGTTGTGTGACTAGATCAAAGTCCAAAATCCGACAAAAGCGAGGATAAATCGTTGAAGCTCAAACGTCAGAACAGCGGTTCTGGTTCAGATACAGAGAAAACTATAAAACGCGTTAAGGCTTTAGTAGATTCGGATTCTGATAACGATGCAGCGGACAAGGAAGCGAATGTTGCTCAAACCGCGGACGCGTTGTTCGGCGATGCGAGTGACATCAGTACAGATGATGAGAAAGACAAAAGAGAGGAGGAAAAGGAACGTAGCCGCAGTCGGAGCAGAAGTAGAAGCAAGAGCCGCAGCAGGAGCAGAAGTCGCAGCCGGGGTAGATCTGAGAGCGGCGGAGAGGGACCGAGCAATCGAGTTGCCATTGAGGACGTAAGTTAACAACAAGTGTATCTAGATATGTTTTGCCATACAAATTTTCAAGACCGTTTACGTTTGCTCCAGAATTAAGAAAAAATGTACGAACTATCAGATTCACGAACAATCTAGCATTAAAATATAAATCTTCTATGTACAGGACGAGGATAAAGATAGAGAAGAAGAACCAGAACCACCTCCGGAAACTAGAATTGACGTGGAAATTCCGAAAATTACGACCGATCTCGGACGTGAGATTCACTTCGTTAAATTGCCGAACTTTTTGTCCGTCGAAACAAGACCGTTCGATCACGAGACTTACGAGGACGAGATCGATGAAGAGGAAACTCTGGACGAGGAAGGTCGGGCTCGACTTAAACTCAAGGTTGAAAATACGTTGAGATGGAAAGATACGTTTAACGACGAGGGCAAATTGGTGAAAGAGAGCAACGCGAGATTTGTCAAGTGGTCGGACGGCAGTATGTCGCTGCATCTGGGCTCGGAGATCTTTGACGTGTACAAGCAGCCTTTGCAAGGTGATCACAATCACCTCTACATTCGCCAAGGTACCGGACTTCAAGGCCAAGCGGTGTTCAGAACAAAATTCACGTTCCGACCGCATTCAACCGAATCGTTCACTCATAGAAAGATGACCATGTCTCTGGCCGATAGATCGCAAAAGACGTCCGGCATCAAAGTTCTCTCTCAAGTCGGAATGAATCCAGATCAGAATAGATACGAAATGATAAAGGTATTGCCGAACTTGTGCGCGTGTCTCTATGTTATATTATAAACTGGTTATTGTGCTCTAATGTATAATTTAAAATTTATACGCATCGTACTTGCCGTACTTCCTTTAGAAAGAGGAAGAGAAGCTACGTATGGCTATGAGAGTCCAAAACAAGACCAAAAAGAGTACCGGTACTAGAAATACCAACCGTACTTCAGGAGCATATAGCGGCGATGCTTACCATGACGACGGTTCCGATGACGAAGGTGCCATTTCATTGGCAGCCATAAAAAATAAGTATAAAAAGGCAGCAGTCATTCCTTCCAAAGGTTTGTTTAATCCATATTATTTTGTAAACTGTGTAACTCAAAAATTTAAATCACGTGAGAGATATGTGACATTTAGATATTTATTTGTGTTTTGCCTCATGTTGGAAAACCATAAAAAAAACTATAGAATAAATTTCTATATTTCAGTAGCTTCAAATATTTATTCTTCGGACGAGGAAGGATCGGACATTGAAACTCATAGACCCAAGAAGAACATCAAAGGTAAAATTCTTAAAGATTCCGACGAGGAATCGAGTTCGGGAAGTACTGCGGGAAGCGGGGATGACAATCAAGCTGACGACGCGAGTGACTAAAATGTATATGTACATAATTTTAAGATTTCGTAAATAAATCGTTTTTTTTTTTGTTTATAATAGTACAAGAAAGACCCATCATTCTGACATATTGTCTTGTTGCAGTGTTATATATATAAATATATATATATATATATCCGACAGTTTACAATATATAAAATTAATAAACATAATATATTTTTTATAGTACCAGTATATAAATCAAAACGTGCGCATATACCATATATGAAGTACGTAAAAATAAATTTGTTTTACGAATAAGATGTATTATAATCAAAAAAAGTAACAAGTATTAGAACATCTCTGACTTGAAATTGCTTTTGTAAAAATTTTTTACTCTTTTACATATTGGTAACTTACAAAAACTTAAAAATAAAGTTACAAGTACCTGTGTTTGATTAAAGCAATAAGTTTATTTAACATTTTTAGTTGCGCTTTTGTAATAGTTATATATAAAATAAACATTGACTAAAGAGTTGTTAAAATAATTTGTTAAATACTGTCTACCTTGGAAATCTGCATCATGGTTTTTTTTTTTTTTTTATTTCAAGTTTTGGAAATTCCGTAAGCCAGCCGTTTAATTATAAATTTTAAAATCGGAAAATTTAAATTATTTAATCGTTTTTTTTTTTTTTTTGGAGAGAGACAAAATGGTCTTTTTCACAAAGCATTATTACATATCTTTTAAAAATCATTTTTTTTATGGCAAGAAATTCGAAAGAACAAAGTGCATGCACATCGAAGTTCAAAAATTAATTAAATTTTACACTAAAACAAATATATATATATATATACATGGGTCGTGTATAAATATACAACACAAAAAAAATCACTTTTATTCGAATCTAAAGCAGGTTCAAATAGATTTAAATTTGAATAAATCTAAATTTGAGAAAAAATTCATCAATTTTTTGCGGCGATTTAAATGAATTTTATGAATTATTTATAAAGAATTAATTTTAATTGCGAAATAAGCTGCACTTGTAAACTAGAATTCTTTCGAGAACTATTTATTACACTTATATGTTAGTTCAATTAACTATCGTCGTTCTAATATGAGAAATTTTGATAAGTAGCGTTTTGCAGTTTTAAATAGCTCTCTCTATTACTGATATATATATATATATATATACATATATATGTATATATATAATATATATATATATATATATTTAATAAAAACATTTATATATATATAATATATATATATATATATATTTAATAAAAACATTTAAAAAATAAACTATTTTAATCGACATGTGTAGTGCAATATTTTTGACATGAGATATAACAATTCTCTCTTAATAGTTTTATACTGACCATTACAAATACTACATATTTTTTCCGTGTGGCACCAATTAGCATTGATATTATATATATATATATTTTATATATATATATATATTGGCTATTATATTTAATTGCTCAATATTCTTGCAGTGTTCACCGATGCAAAACCAGAAGATGGCCGATCTGACTAGACTACGTCTTAAAGTAATAAATCTTTTAATAGTATCCTATAAAAGCGCTCGGTCAGGTTACTCTCTACATGCGTCGGCCCCATATTGTATATATATTACAGTTTTGTAACTTTTAATTTAAACTAGGATTTCGTCCTATGTCCCACTGTATCTCAATCCTTGGCCACTTTGTTTGCAGAACTGTCAGCATAGGATTGCTATCCATGATACACTTTACGGTGCACTCAAGCAATACCGCTTGTCCCTTGTGATACTTCACTTTATTATCCGGATTGCTGCGTTGTAAACCGTTGTAATGATACAAGACAAACGTGTCCGGACAGGTGCACTGTTCTTCCGGAAAAAATTCATCCATAAACGAATTGAGAAGTATTATTCCTAGATTTTCATTGTCCAGCTTTTTTCTTATGATGTCGACGCTGCAACAACACGCACGTGTAAAAAGTACGTCGACAATTTTTTTGTCTTTCACAGTGAAAGATGTGAATTTAACAGGTGCATGTGCACCCCATTTACATTTTGTCATATTGAGTACGCGTGGATGCGCACTATACAAGAGAAAAATAAGGCAGAACGTACTATTCGGTATCGGCCACCAGTCCTAGTTCTGCCAATACATCCTTCAGTAAATTTGACGGAATGAAATTATTCCCTTCCGGATCGAAACGTCTAAAAACTCTACGCGCCTGTTCCGCCGGCGTTTCTGGGCTTACTAATCGCTTTTCTGTAGAGAAGAGTACAGTTAAATGCGTTTCGGACCCCAGCACCCAAATCGGATGCAACGGCGACTTCAAAAATGTTCCCACTTCGCAATATCGTAAATGCTCTAGTAAATTCAGAAATCCTATTGTATTCTGTTTATCTACACCACGAAATTCTGCAAATTGCACAATGTAATCCATCAGTATGGGAGAGAAAGGACAATATGCGTGTGTAAAATTGTTCAGATATATAAACATAAAAAAATTTCTTTTTTTAAATAACAGAAGAAAAGTAATGAAAAGAAAAAAAATGACTATCTCACTTAATCCGCCAACATCCTGATCGTGATCCCATACGTTGCTTACAGCCCGGCCGGTAAGCATCAAATTTATCAAGCTTTGGCTTCCGTATCCGTAAGTCGAATCAATCATGGGTTCCGAATCCGACATTTCAACACATATGCCCGACACGCCTTTTGTACACATTACAGTATAGAGTAACAAAAGTATACCGTACTGATCTTTCAAGATTCCAATTCGTTCTGTAAAGAAGTCCTCTACATCGTCAATGTTACTTGTTGTAAATATCCTGAAAAAAAAAAAAAAAAAAAAAAAAAAAAAAAAAAAAAAACAAAAACAAACAATCTAAGTTAATAAAACAAATGTGAAAAAACGGCAAATAAATCTCTTCCACCGCGTTTTTAACCGCAAACGAGAAAAATACCTCAATTGAGAATGAAACCTTTCCGAATCTAATGTTGCTTGTCTTGCGATTTGTGTCTCATTAATTTGACTACTTTCACTAATATCCCGAGCTGAATGTATTGTGGATTCTGCTGATTTGGAATCGGAGCTATCTTTGTTACATGAAAAGGCATTAGTGTTGTCATTGACATGCACTAGCAAATACTTGGGATCCTGAGAGTCGGCTGCTTGATTGATAATTTCGGTCATGGCTTTAACAAGCAACTGATCACATTTCTCGGCCTTGATGGCGTTCCATGTTACAACATCACCTTCGAGAAGCAACTGTTTCAAAATAAATGCCTGAACCGAAGCTATCACAGCACAAGGCCCGCCTTCTCTCTGCACAAGCGCGGTAGGCTCGTCTACACTGAAGTAAAAGCCTGCAACACACGCAAAAAGCAAAAATTGTTCAATTCAACGACTTTTCATTTGTTAGATACAAAATCTTGCATATATATTTCTATCACATGTACAACATATATATATATATATATATATACGTGCACATATATATATTATGTAAGATAAAAATATCTCGCAGACTCTTTCTTTAAATGTTAAATCGATGCGACATTTTTGCGTCTTATTCGCAATGCTGGTCAAAGTGCAAACTTCCATGCGAATTATCGATGACGACACGGAGAAAAATCTCAAAGTAACGAAACAATCGGGCCGTCTTTAGTGATGAAATGATGACAAATTATCACCGCCGAGCGGCCATTACACAGCGAGAATGCGAGTATAAACCACTGACTTTTGTTACATCACTCGCTCGCGACTTTTGACGTAAAAAAAAAAAACAAAACGCAACGATTTGTTTTTACCTTGCGCCCATCGCTTAAAAATGTCCTCCTTCACGGTCGAACCCCACAGGAGCTTTTTAATATTGTTCAAGAGCTCGTCGTCGCTTGTGACGACATTTTCGGCCATTATCTTCTGGTTCGCGCTCGATTATCAATAAAGCGCCCGTTTGCACAAACTTTTATCTGGAGCTAATCATAATACACCTTGACGTCTCGTAACAAGTTTCTCATCTAGATCTCATCGGGATTATAATCGTTAGAAAATTATTGGCACCGCCCGATAACCTATTTTGTACAACAGACAACCGCCAAGTACGTCGCCATTTTGAACCGTTTTCCGTCTTAAATGTGCGCGATGTGTGAAGTGCGCTCAAAATCGAATATCCGTTGCATGTATTTTTGTAGGGACGCCGAATCGATACATCGAATCGTTTCGAGAACGACGACGGTCGCACACGCATTCGCGAGTGTGGATTGGTCACGGACAGTCACCGCGGCACGATGCAAAACGTGTTTTTCTCTCTCATTCGTCGAGGAATTAAATTGGTAGGTGATTGACACATTTGACATAATCCATCCGAAATTCTTATAAGAGTCATCAGAAAAGTCACACGAGCGAGTTTCGTGTGACTTCCCGCCCAGCACGCGATGAGAATATTTCGCGAATCCGGGGAGTGGGGGTCTCATCTCTTTTGTATAGCGCGGTACTATTGCTTGAACCACGCGCGGTTTGCGATATAACGCAATTTAAAAATTGCGCTAAAACGGAGTCTAATTCCGTTTTTTTTTTTTTTTTCAATAATTTTTCGCGCGCCTCGCAATATTCAAAGGATATTTAGAAGATTTATCTCCTCTGAACACATCCGATGTTGTTTTTCGTCGAAACTGCGTTGCAGCTTGAAAGCGCCTGAGTGTCAGGCAACCCGTTGCGCTTCCTCGTCCGACGAGCTGCCTGCTTCCCAGGCGCCACGCGGCTGAACGACGACGCGTTCAAGTTTATCATCAAGGTACTTGGCGCGCGTTTGTCGTTAACTCACATTTTTCAACTTCGTGTTTCTTTTGCAGATGCACACACACACACACAC